TCAATGGTGTTGACAGCTGATTTGCATATTGTTTTTTATGAATTATAAATGGTTTTAATTCCATAAATTAATCTGTTCTTGAGAAAGGTGGATTGCAGATGTGGATGATGTTTCCAGTGCAATTTTTAAAAATGCCTCATGCCTTTGTATTCACATTTACAACAAAATGGCAATAACTTATTGTAGTTTTAACAGCATCCCATACAGTTAGCTCTCCAGAAAAATAAATGAAACGAAGGTTATCCTCATAATGTATTTTGGGGGGGGGGGGGGAGAAGGCATTTCCATCCAGATGCGGTTGAAATTGTTCCTCTTTGCTTCAGCATTCTTTGAAGCATTGAAATGGAAAACACCACTGAACCAATTTCTCTTGTTTCTCCACAAGTTCTCTCACCCTTCAAGCAGAGGGAAAGCTGGAAACTCCTGCACATATTTTGGTGTTGTGAAACAAAGCATTGGCCAGAGGAAGGCAGTTTCCTCAGGCAGCAGGTGCTGGAGGATAGGAATAACTTCTGTTCAATACTTTCCAGACCTCAGCCATTCCCCTCTGTTGGAAGACAGAACAATAGGTGCCACAGGACCTGTCTTGCACCCTCTAAACTAGCCTATTGCCCTCAGAGAGCACTCCTGTCACCAGTTTTGACGTAAAATTCACTTGGCAGTCTGTTTGGATTGGGGGGGGGGGGACAATGGGAGCATGCAGTCTTACTCTTTACTGTAAGTTTGTCGCATGGAGCAGAAATGGGCAACTATTGGACTCCAACTACCACCTGCCTGTGGTCAGAGAGAACAACTGCACGATAGAGAGAGAAACACTGTTCGGGCTTCAAACAGAAGGAAGGAATGAAATGTCTCTAAGAGAGGAGAAAGATTCTAGAATCTAAACACATGAACTCAGCAAATGAGGGGAAAGGCAACTCAGTTGCAAAACATAATTATGGAAAGTTTCCACTTGCTGTGACGCCTGCCTCAGTTCTTTTATTTAAAAAAACTGCAAACACAAAAATTAAACAGTGAGGTATTTCATGTCTGTGGAAACCTGGAGATGTTCTTCACTGCAAAGTAAATGCGTGTGTGAGAATGTTTTTGTGTGTATAGGAGAGAGCTAGGCTGCAGCAGACAGGGAAGGAAAAATTAGCCGTTTCCTCCCTTGTTGGGTCTTGCTGAAAATCACACTTTTGCTAGGCAGATTTTTGCACTGAAATCTCTAACCCCTTTCCATTTTCTCCTGCCTCCTTCATTTGTTCTCACAGATAAGGCTTCCACCACTCATTTGCTACCAATTTTTAAAAACTTCTGCCTCAAAAAGCTGAGCCAAAAGTGAACATACTAAATTTCTCCACATTTGGGAAACGTTTTCTCTCTCTCTCTTCGTGTTGTATCATAATGAAATCTGTGTTGTGAATTGCCTTTTAGGCAATTTTGGGCATTAACACAAAAGAGACCAATGGAAATTAAGTGTAAGCAAGATATTGTAAAGTTGAAACAATTAAAAACATTGAAAAACCCTCAAAAGAGATCAGAATAGCTGTAAACACATGGAAAAACGGCAGCAGCTTTTGTGTAAAACACTGTACACATAAACTTTTGTGCTGTCTTTTTCTGCACAACAAATGCTATTGTTGTTTTGAGTTTTAGGAAGCTCACTATGGAACAGAAAAAGGATATCTTCCACAATACACATTAAGACATTATCTTTGTTAGAACCAACTGAAAATGCACCCAATGTTTTGACAGTAAATCTGTTGATTTCTGTTTGAGCCTAACAAGTGTATTGCCTTACTGTGGACTTTGTATTTTTCATAGGCCATATAAGAACACACTCCTGTAAATAGACTCAAACTGCCAGTCAAAGCTCCCCCGCTGGATCCATTGCTCTGTGCCCTAATCTTTGGAGCAGCATAAAACAAGCCAGCTTCAGTTTGATATTCCTTCAGATATTTAAAGATGGCTATCATAGAGTGGTGCTCTTATTTCCCTATATGTTGATGCAGTCTAGAGTTGCATTGCTTTTTTTTTTGGTTTGCATTGCTTATAGCCCTGTTGATTCATGTTTAGCTTGTAGTCTAATAAGATTATTAGAGCCTTTCCACATGAACAATTTTCAAGATTATTTTCATGACACATTACTTTTACATCAGCTTATACAGTTTACCCATTTGTTCCTAGGCACAATTTAAGGTGCTAGCACTAAGCTTTAAAGACCTGTGCGGTTTGGGACTGAGTTGTCTGAGTCTGGCCGCTCCCACCTCTAAACCTCCTCGGCTGTAAGGTCAGCTTCAGAAGCCCCGTGTCCTCTGACTCAACACTAAGGACCTCATCACATGGAGTGTTTTCCCCATCATAGAACACTTTATCTTTATAGCATATCAAGAGGGATGCATTTTTCACTCTGGTATCCTTGTCCAGAGTTACAGATTTTCTCATTAATATCTGTTAAACTTCTGAAGAGTATCATAGCATATATGTATGTGTCTTCAAGTCAACTGTCAATTTATGGTGGCCCCATTGAATTTCATAATTTTTTCTCAGGAATAAACCTTGAAAATCACTAGTCTATATATTTAACTTTTATTAGACCTCATTGCTCCATTCTTAAATATTTTAGCTTTACTGATTCTGGAGAAATACATGGTTGTGATTCAAATCTGCTTACTGCATCCATGACCTACATGCATTGTGACAAGTTTGGAGGCACTACTCTGACTCATCCACATATATTTTCATATATGATTTTGAAGCAGGGCAAAATGAAGTAACATGCCAAGAGGAAAGCAAGTCAAGCAAATTCATGTCCTTTTAAAAAATTTCATCTCAAAAGCATTGCGTAAAATAGTTTATCTAACACTGATAAAATAAAGAGATCACAAGCTGCGAAATAGTTTTAGACCAAAAACGGGCAACAGAAGTCCTGATCACCTTCTGTCTAGAAATCTGTGTCATCAATGTGAAAAACCACGTGGATCCAGAAGAGGTTTTCACAGTCATTTGTGGATCCACCACCAAAAATTTACTTCTGGAAGGCAATCATATATAGCCACGAGTGATCGGCCATGATGTGGAGGAACTACACTGACTGCTCCATCTACATATATTTTCATATGCATTGCTTAACATGTCAGTATACATCATAGACTTTTTTTTTTAACCAGGAAGTATTATTCATTTTTTGCTTTAGTGAACTGCCAGATATAATTTCCATCTTACCAGGTCAAGTTAATGTGCACACAGAAGTTATGCATGCATATACACCCCTTCGAGCTTATGGGATAAATGGTGTATCATTACACATTTTTACCATTTATTTCTTACTCCAAGGGCACTTTATGTTCAAGAGGCAATGTTTGTATATAGAACACCCTCCTCCAGTGCTATATCCTCCAGATATGCCCAATAGATTTTAATGTTTCCATTTCAAAACACAAACCCATTCAAATATTTCAAATCCAAAACAAGTCTAGAAGACCCATTACTTTTGAATACCTTAAACCTATATAATCTTCTAACTTTCTCTACTGCTCCAATGTGCAGATTATTTATTTCCTTGGCAACAATCTTTCTTCCTGGATTTTGAAATAGTAAGGGGTAAATATTACCAGCAAGCTTTACATTGAACATGTTATTATATCTGTAATTAATTACCTCCACTACCCACCTGCCACTTGTTAATTTCACCAAAGCCCAACCAAAATGTACTAATCTCTCCCCTACCAGAATATTTGAAGGACCAGCCTTACCCGCTTCTCTATTGTTGGAAATCTTGCTTCATTAATTGTTTCCTGTTCCTATTCCATCAACCTCTCCTATTGTTAAATCCACATTTTCTGTCCTAATTCCTTCCCTCTTGAAAGGAGGAAATATAACCTCAAAAATGATTTATTCTTCTGTATAAATGACATTTCTTTTTTGTCTTTAAACCAGTACTTTTCCAAGAATCTTTTCTCCAAAAATTAACCCATCTTCAAACAGCATATAGGCTACATTATTTCTAGACGTTTGATCATCCTCTCCATATTGTAATCAGAATGACCTGCAAGCGACTATGAAAACAGTAATACTTCTTGAAGCAAATGCCACTGAATTATGACTAGCACCCACTATATAGCTAAGAGCCCACTGACCCTCATAAGAGCTTTATTATAGCACACAGAATATCCTGCATCGATAGGACTACTACCTGTGCAACCCTGGATGTAGCAGTTACATGCCTAATTACCAGAGCAGACACCTTATGTGCTTTTCTTAACTCTGATTCATCCCTACACTCATTGGCCTCCTTAAGCACAGCATCCCCCTTTCTTGGGACTACGGCAACTGAAATAACCCTCACTGTTATAGTGTCAATGAGAGCCACATTGGGGAAATCCACATCCTTTTAAATGTTTGTCATGCTTTGCAATTCTGACAATCTTTTTAGTTACAGACTTGTACACCTGGGTCCCTTTGGAGCTGCCATGATAAACTGGTTCATGTTCTTCTGCCTCAACATTAACAGCTGTCCTTTATCATTAAATTGTGTTGGCAAATTAAAATTAAAGGAAGAAATCAGGTTTTTTTTTTAAAAAATTGATAATTCATAGTTATTGCATCAATACGAGGCCTCAATTGAATTTCTTATTCATTGTCTTTTTAATTATTAATTGCAACCCATTTGGTGAATTGGTCACACCCAACATTTCTGCATCAGTATGTTGTTGCTGGGCATCCTCCACTAGCTTGTGGGGCACAAGACTACTACAGCATCATGGGTTACTCAGCCCAAGCAGAGATATTTCCCTCCACTCCGCCTGCTCTCCCTTGATTTATGGAAGGTATGTAAGCCTGGATGAAGTATGCAATCTGCATAGAGTCTGTCAACACTAGAGAGAACCATGAGATAGATCAACAGTACTATATTCTAATATAAGAATCACTTCTGGTTACTGTTTTCTTTATGTATTAAATCTTCATTTGGAAGATTCAGAATACTTTGGACTGATAGATATGAAGTGAAATTGACCTTTCTGTATTTCAGCATTTAAACCTTTATTACAAAACACATAAAATATTAAAATGATTTACGGATGCATCTGACCAAAATATGACATACAAAACTGCTGACAAACAATTTTACACAGACTCAGTATTTTATCATGCTGTTGGAAGCATGTAATGCTGGTTTGGTGCCAGGTGGGGACTGCCAGACCGCTGAACTTGTGCGCTTAAAATACCTTGGCTTACTTTTGTAGAAAATATCCTCTAGTTTAGGGCTCAATATTACTCCAAATAACCTGTTGATGTCTGGAGGGTTGTAATATTGATCTGTGACAGCCTGGGTAAGATGAAGCCCTGAGGAAACAACAGTTATTGCATCATGAGTCAGCCTTCAAGCAGGAACAGGTCTGAACTCAAAGCATTTCTATGTAGGAGACAATATTAATCCAAATCTATGAGTGGACTAAAGTTAGTGATTAAATCAGTTGTGACATGTAACAAAGAGGGCAAGTTTATTTGTTCTACTTATACTTTTACAAGAACACGAAGATCCTGGCATCAAAACTACATTGCCTCCAAAGTAACTCTGTACAAAGATTTTACTCCTGGTTATATGGAGCCCCTGGTGGTGCAATAGGTTAAACCCTTGTGTCAGCAGGACTGCTGACTGAAAGGTTGGTGGTTCAAATCCAGGGTGCGGGGTGATCTCCTGTCTGTCAGCTCCAGCTTCCCATGCGGGGACATGAGAAAAGCCTCTCATAGGATGGTAAAACATCCAGGCATCCCCTGGGCAATGTCCTTGCAGACAGCCAATTCTCTCACACAAGAAGGGACTTGGTAGTTTCCCAAGTTGCTCCTGACATGGAAAAAAATAACTCCTGTTTACATCAAGGTTTCTTCTTTTAAGAAGTATAATTTAGGACTGAAAGGGGTATCATTTTGTTGCAGCAATTAGTAAACAACTGAGAATTGGAATTTCTTGCTGATCTCCTTCAAATCATCTGGAGATCTACCATCAGATCCATATCCACCTTCCATCCACTGTTGCTTCTGTTGTAACAGATCAAGTTATGCTACTGTCTGCAGAATTCCAGTATAATAATCCAAATCCCACTGAAGGCTCCTTTCTCACTAACAGCCATTTCATCAGGCCACATCAGAGGGAAACAAGAACAGGAAAAGCAGTGTCCTATTGTTTTTTTTCCCTATCTTCTTTTCTGATTCTGTTTTGTTGTTTAAACTGAAAGTCTGTATTGTTTTTATTGATTGTAAACCCAGGAGACCTTTGGTTAGTCGACAGGAATAAAAAAGCTTTAATTTGTAAACAAAATGGTCTCTATCTTACAGGTATTTCCCATTATATAGATTTTTATCATTCAAATTGAAAGGTTTCTGAAATTAAAGAAGATTTCCTGCTAGATTAATCCAAAGGTGGGCACAATGGAACTGACATGAGATGGACTCACCAGCTGTCAGTCTAAACACCTGTCTCTCAACCATCTAGTTCACTTCTGAGTGAACATCCCACTTGTATGAGTTTTGCTTTTTCCTGCAACACTCTTGAAAACTATATCAGGCTGTATAAACAATGAGCAATGAGATATGTAAGTTTCAGCTGAAACATCACTATGCTATACCAAAACCACCAGAAAAGCAGTACAATTCTGGGAAACTTGCAGTTTAATGTATGAGGGCCAGATGTATCAAAACAAAGAACCCGAGGGAACCACTTAGAATCTCAAGTTCTAAGGAATCTCCCAATCTCAGTGTTAACATTTAATGCAGTGGTATGAATTGTGTAGCCCTTAGCTCCTCATAAGCCTGATTTTCAAAGTGAAAGCAATGGTGTTGTGGGTGTAAGGGGGGGGAGGGTTGCTGTTTCTCAGTAAGCAATGTTTAGGGAGATTCCCAAAACAGCTCCAAATCCAAACAAAAGTCAGGGATGATTGAAACATCATCTCCGCTTTCAGGCCAACAGGACAGCCACTCTGGATAAGGAGAACTGAAAAATGGCTTTTGATCTTCCTCATATGTTCCCACACCTATTAAAGACTCACACATACCAATGGCCCACAGAGGAATGGGTTTGCGGGGCTCATTTTCATCATCGGTAGAGTCATCACTATTCAGATCCATGCCATAGTCATTTGGATTCATTTTGAGGGATGCAGTATCTTTTACTTTTGTGGAATTTACTTCATTGGAACTACTGACTGCTGGTTTCTGAAAGACAAGGCAGAATTTGTGGCATAGCTGCAGAAATATCTGTTGGTATCAAAGCTTGCATTTTAAAATTTGAGAACTTATTGCACTTTAACCTTTCATTGGACAAGCCAATTTGTTTCCGGCCAAAGTACAAGGTGTTGCTTTTGACCTTAAAGCCCTACGTGGTTTGGGTCCAGGTTACCTACAAGATCGCCTTCTCCCGTACAATCCGTCCCGAACACTTAGGTCCTCTGGGAGTGGCTACTCCAGCCTGCCAGAACCCGACTGGCGACCATCACCCAGATGACCTATTCATCAGCCACGCCAAGATTGTGGAATGACCTGCAGGAAGAGCTCCAACAGCTAAATGAGCTATCAGAATTTAAAAACCATCTAAAGACCTATCTCCTCAGGCAAGCCTACCCAAACTGTTTTTAAACATTAATTTTAAACGTGTGTCCTTTGCTTAATCTGTTTTATGTATTTTAATATGTATTTTATAGAAATAAGTTTTAATATGTATCTTTATAGAAATAAATTTGAATACGTGTATTTGTGGTATTTTTTTTTACAATGTTTAATGTTTAAATTATTCTGTAACCTGCCTCGAGCCATGAGGAGAGGACTGTAAGAAATAAAATAATAATAATAACAATAACAATAATAATAGAGATCAACAAAATATTTCTTTCTGCAGTTTAGCATAATTCCAGTCTTTTGAAGGTCTTTAGACTTCCAGTTGTGTACATGAGATGAAGACTGGGAATATATTTGGCTTCTAGAGTAGATTTTGGCTAATTTTGGAATTTTCAGCCCTAAATAAACACATTGTTGAGTTGGAGAATACCTTGTGAAATATATACAGCACAAAAAAGATAAAGCTCTTAATTTATAATTCACACCAATTAGTCTTTGAAACAAGGTGAATGTAAACACCTCAATAGTTCAATCACAATGTTGATGTAGTAACAGATGAAATAGTAAGGGTACATATCACACATTCAATAACATCTACTGTTTGAAAATTTTGCAGATGCTACAAAAACTACAGCAGAAGACACTATACAGTTCAGTTGTGCACTGTACACTTAATGTGTGCAAGTGAGTATGTGGGCTTTTGTTTGCCAGTATAAATGCCTAAAGATAGGGGAAGACAGAGACTCCTCTGTCTTCCCCTAAACTCTTTAACTCAAGGTTAAAGAGTTTTCCAATTCTGTGGCTAGACTAGGTATAGTATTCTGGCTAGTTCTAAGTTTATTCCTCATGTATTTTATTCATCACTCCTAACTATATCAATAGAAATCTTCCGAAAACATGAGATCTATTTACAGTATCTGAAGGAGTATGACCAGGTATGTGTATGCTGTGATGGAATGTGCAGGAGAGGGATATTTATAACTATTATTTATTTATTTACTTATTTATGATTTCATATCAAAAACATTGCATAAATTAGTATAAAACTGATAAACATACCTCTAAAAGGCTTCATACAGAAGTTAGTCTTAAATAAGAAACATACCCTGAAGATGTTTTATTGGCTGCTATGTTGTCATGGAGATGCCATCTACATCAAAAACCTGAGGGTTCCATTTTAATATACCATATATATGTCTAGAAATGTTAGTTTTAAAAAGTCAAATTTTCATCAATATTCACACAGAAGTGTCAGTAGTGTACCTTAACTCTTATCAAAATAGAAAACATTCCCTTCTCTGTGTAGACTGGTGAAAGGCAAGAGCTTAATCCATCTGATGAGAAACTAAAAGAAGCAATGGCCCCTCTACTATCTCTACTGTGGTGCCACTTTTGGGTTTTTTGAATGCCTGGGAGGGAAAATGGCAGCTGCCTCTTCTCCCCAAATGCAATATTAGTGCTTTCCCCTTTCATTTCAATATATCCATGGGTCACATCTAAATCCATAATTTTGACCTCAAAACCTACCGTCAACTTATACATGAGGTCAACCTATATATATGACTATATACACCACATTACTGAGCTTATATTCTTATGCCCTCTTGTGATCACTGGCCAGGATTGCAACACCTTTAGAAACTAACTTTTTTAAACAGGGTTGTGAAATAGTTTTTCCCTTTGGATTTTAAGATTCATCAACTGGAGCCTGGGACAGAAGATGTACACTAAAACTGAAATGCTGTAAGATGAGATACTAATTGGTCACAGTCTTTTCAGAGAAAAAGCTACTCTCAGTTATTCTTATTTTTTCTTTATTCCAGAATAGAAAGTATTTTGTTGTTGCTATCATTAAACAAGAGGAAGAGAAAGTCCTTGGTCTATTACAACTCATCCAGCAGACCCAGAGCTATCATCTACATATCCCTGGCTTATAATATAAACTTCTGCAGGAATTCTCTCCAAAATACTCAAATGAATAACCTGTTTAGACATCTTGCTTCCCTCAATTGTTCCCAACCTTTGGTCCTCCAGGTGTTTTGGACTTCAGCTTTCACAATTCCTAACATCTAGTAAACTGGATTTCTGGGAGTTGAAGTCCAATTTCCTTTTAGAATTTATACATTTTTACTAAACATTTCAACCAAAAATCTCTCCCAACCTATTATTACTATTTAATGAAATAATGATGAATAAGAGAATCCCAGGAACATGGAAAACTTCAGAAATAATAACAATAATAAAACCTAATAAGGAAGAGGATAATCCCAATTCATATAAACCAATAACTACAAGCCTCAAGCAAGAGCCCGGGATTCACCTTACTAGAAAAGACCACAAATCATGACTACTCACCTGAGCCATTATATTCAGCCATTTATAGCCAGCATGAACTGCTTCCATGTGTCTGGTTTCCTTTCCTTGATGGTCCACTGTGGGATGATCCTGTTCCTTCTATAAGATAACCACATTTTTAGTTTATACCCTACATAGACCCCCAATTTCATCCAACCTGCCAGCCTGTGCCTCTGTTTTATAAGAATAAATTGATTCAAAATCCCAGTTAAAGGGATTCCACCTAATCTTTAGGAAGAACTTTTCAATGGTGTAGCAATGGAATATGCTGCCTCAGAGTAGTGGGCTCTCCTTCTCTGGAGGCTGGCCATCTGTTGACAGAGCTTTTATTGGGTTGTTGTAGCTTTTTCGGACTGTATGGCCATGTTGTAGAAGCATTCTTTCCTGACGTTTCACCTGCATCTATGGCAGGCATTCTCAGAAGTTGTGAGGTCACAACCTCGCAACCTCTGAGGATGCCTTCCATAGATGCAGGAAAAACGTCAGGAGGGAATACTTCTAGAACATGGCCATACATCCTGAAAAACCTACAACAACCCAGTGATTCCAGCCATGAAAGCCTTCGACAATACAGAGCTTTTATTATGTTCCTGCATGGCAGGGGTTTGGACTGGATGACCCTTGTGGTCTCATCCCACTTCTTGATTCTTTTTTTCCCCAAATGATCTCAGTATTCTCTTGAAAAACATATACTACAGAATAGCACAGAACATCTAGTATGGAATACTGTATCCACCTTGGTCCATTATGGTGAGAAAATATATCACATGCACAAACATGCATTTCCTCTAAGGAATATAGAGGATAAAATAAGCCCTGCATTTTGAAAATCTCCTTAATTCAGTTAGAATGATTTGTTTCTTTATTTGTCAGCCAGTGTTGGATTTTGACCACCTATTTCCTGGCTGAATTTTTATTTATTTATTTATTTATTTGGCCATACCTTCAAATTATCTTCATCTTCAGTAACTATTGCAAGGTTCAGAGGTTTCACCGGTCTCTCTTTTTCTTGCTGTCCACAATGCCTAAAAACAAGGGAAAGTAGTGGCAAAGAACATTTGCAGTACATTTGTACTCTTCTTCACTTGCTATTGGATTCAACCATGCTTGATGCTATAATTTAAGGGTGAGGGTTTCTATATATCAAGTAGCCCCTCATCATGATTTCTGAAATTAGGTCATAACTGTCAACATGGGACATTCAAGCTTTAGGATATTTATGTTATATCCTGTGTTTATTTTGTATTATTTTCTTTTGTTGTATTTTATTGTATTTTATTCGATGTATTATTGTATGATTGTATGTTTGTATTCTTTTTGCCTTGTTGTAATTGTTGGACTTGGCCCCATGTTAACCGCCCCGAGTCCCCTTGGGGAGATGGTGGCGGGGTATAAATAAAGTTTTATTATTTATTAATATTATTATTTAGAGGAGACCATTTGTCCAAAACATTTGGCTGAAACAATCCAGGAGGCAATAAAGGTCCTTAGGACGAATGGGCTTGGACAATAGACAGACAACAGAACAAAAAGGCTAAGAGCAAGATTGATACCCTCAGTGGCGTAGTGGGTTAAACCGCTAAGCGGCTGAACTTGTTGACCAAAAGGTCAGTGGTTCGAATCTGGAGAGCGGGGTGAGCTCATGCTGTTAGCCCCAGCTTCTGCCAACCTAGTAGTTCAAAAACATGCAAATGTGAGTAGATCAACAGGTACCACTCCGGCGGGAAGGTAATGATGCTCCTTGCAGTCATGCCGGCCACATGACCTAGGAGGCATCTATGGACAACGCCGGCTCTTTGGCGTAGAAATGGAGATGAGCACCAACCTCCAGAGTCAGACACGACTAGATTCAATGTCAAGGGGAAACCTTTACCTTTACTATGATTGGTGAACCAATGAACAATTTGGGTATGTGTTTGTTTTTCAGAATGGGAGCCTTACATACAGGCTTTTTACAAAACGAATGTTATTATAAGCGATCATTTCTGTCAATGAATGCCATGTGTAGGTTATTTCTGCTGTTTGTTTATAAATGAAGTACTATCTGCATGACAGGAGGACTTTTCTTTGAAACAAATGGTTAGACTGCCTTGACTCCTTCTAGCCCTCTAAAAATGTATGATAAAGAGAGTAGACTGAAAATACAATATTTTAGCAATGCTCATCTAACTCACAATTTTCTGTTTTGAAAGCTGTTATTTTCCACTGACCCCAAACTGTCTGGTTCGTAACACACTGAATTTGAGATACACTCAATCCTGTGGAAGCAAAGTCCTCACCCTTTTTCCTGTTTCGCCTTATTGTGCTCTAGCATTTTCCTAATTTCTCCAACTGTCTTCCATTTTTCTTGTTGCTCTTGAAGCTTTGGCACTTCTTCCTGTGACAATGATAAAATCAGAGCCCTCCATAGGGGGAAAGACACGAAAGAGTAGCAACAAATGCTAAGCAAAGTAACAAGGAATTTTACTTCACGATTCTTAGCTATGCCTTATTTATAGGCAGTGTTAAGTTGCAGTGATGCCTATATGAAGATTTCATGATACGGGCTTCCTCTATGTAAAGATCTATCCTTCAATTCTCATCCTTCATGCAGTGAAATCAGGAGTGGGGTCTGTATTTTTCCTGTACTCATTCTGAAGATGGACAGACAGTATTGCCTAATTGGGGAGATTCCATATACATTGTCTCTGAAACAGTAAAAATGACATTGAACACATGACCTCGCCCCCTTCCTGGTTGAAACATTTAACATTGGTTCTATGGCAGAGCATTTCTTAGGTTGACATGGCTTCAGTTTTCACACAATAACATCTCTTTTTTTTTACCAGGGACTTGCCAATTACCCATGCCAACCAGATCAAATCTCTGCACTATAAACACAGACATTTGAAACACCCAGGACCGGATGGCCCCTTTGATGGGACCACTAGGAAGAACTTCCTAACAGTGAGAGCTGTTCAGCAGTGGAATTCCCTGCCCTGGAATGCGGTGGAGGCTCCTTCTTTGGAGGCTTTTAAACAGAGGCTGGATGGTCATCTGGAACTCATTGCCCGGAGAGATTAGGAAAGCCCCCACCTTAGAAACCTTCAAGAAGGATCTCAAAACCTGGCTTTTCCGTGCGCCTTCGGAGAGTAGCTACACAACCATACACTATTGCTCCCCTCAATGTTTTTGTTCCTGGAGTACACTTCCCCCGCTTGTATGAAGGCCTGTTTTTTCTTTCTTTATGAGCTCTCCCTCACAAACTGCTCCTCTTTTATCTCACCCTGAGTTTTAGCATTTTATCTTGCACATGCGGCCTGCTCTTTGTCATTGTGATTGTGGATATTGTATTTTTATATTGCTTATTGTATTCATATGTTTTATGTATTTCACTGTGTTGTCGTTTGTGTCTTTGTTTTTATTTTATTGTAATTTGCTGTTTGGGCTTGGCCTCATGTAAGCCGCCCCGAGTCCCCGTTGGAGGAGATGGTGGCGGGGTATAAATAAAGTTTATCATTATTATTATTATTATTATTATTAGCCAATCATGTCAATGCTAGCTCAACTGGGGAGCCATATATTCCCACTGAATAATAGGAGTAACATAATTGTCTAATTCCAGACTAATTTTGTTAAATGCTTTACGGCATGGGTTTGTTAACAGCAAGAAAAAACATACACAATTTAAAGGGAATTCCTTTCGGCAGTGCGTTCCATGGGTTCCACTATTTCAGCCTACAGCGAGCATAGTTTCAGGGTAACAATGAAATACTGTTCAAGAATTTTGTAATTCCTATCCATATAAATAATTTCTATAGCTCCTTAGAATAATTCTGTTTTATTTTAAGTTTTACCATTGGATTCAAATTGAGTGCTTACCACCTGAAGCAATTTCTGTTTCCGGGCTTCTGCTTCCCCCGTTTTCTTAATTGATTTCTTCTTCCTGTTCTTCTCCTCTGCTGCTTTCTCTTCTCTCGCCTGTCCAAAGGACCAAATAAAATTATTTTTTTCCTTATTCCAGATTTTAGTCTAAGAAAGCATACTATATCAGAATGTCAAGTGGTAGTGACCAAGAAAAAAAAACACACACAATCTGTTTCTGTTAATCACTGTACTTTCTGAAAATTCACTATCATCACTCATAAAATTAAGTATTTTAAAAACAAGTTTTGTTATTTTTTCTGACAAAAAATATTTTGAGTGAGAAAGTCTTAATATCAATAAAATAAGTTTGTCCCTACTTGTTTGATTACTTTTGTGATGTAGTTATTCTTTACTTTTATTACTAAGATGGGGATGGTGTAGACTTGAGAGGCCAACTCAGTAATGACAACATGTTAGTTTTAACATGACCAGAGCTAGGAAATAACATGTTCTTTTTAACATGTTACTTCTTAGCTGGGCATGGCATATTCCTTCCCCCCACCCTCCCATCTCTCCAGGGTTTACTTACTTAAGAAATTCCTCATTGTCTGAGTATGATGGCCCTTCAAGTGTAGTGTCTTGGCGGTGGGTACGTAGATAACTGTGGAGACCTATTCTGGACCAGCATTTTCTTCCACAGTGAGAACATTGGTTTCCAGGCGAAAGGTGGTCCCAGTCAGGGTTGGTTTGATGCACCTTCCTTTTGGCACATTTCTTCCTTTCATTCTCCATTCGTGCTTCTTCAAATTCCTCAGCACTGCTGGTGACAGCTGACCTCCAGTTAGAGCGCTCAAGGGCCAAGGCTTCCCAGTTCTCAGTGTCTATGCTACAGTTTTTAAGATTGCCTTTAAGCCCATCTTTAACTCTCTTTTTCTGTCCACCAACATTCCGTTTTCCATCCTTGAATCGGGAGTATAGTAACTGATTTGGGAGACGGTGATGTTGTACATCAGCCTGTTCAGCCTGTGATTGTGTCCGATGTTCATGTTGATGTTCATGGTTGGAATGGGGATGATGTTCCTGGTGGTGGGCCTGGGTCTGCTGGCATTGGGAATGAAGGTTTACTTGGGCCCGAGTTAAGCTCAGACAAGAGGCCCAAGCTGTCTCAGGAAGATTCACAAGGTCACATTCTTGGGAGAGGACCTTCACAGCTTTTCTCAGAGCAACTGTCTGAAAATGATTTGTTGGGTGCAGAAGTTAATGAGGGAGAAGATAATGAAAACTTGGAGAGAAAGAGGTTTAGTAAACAGAGACAATGTCTTCAGAGACTGAGATGATCAGTTTGTCAACTGCAAAAGAGAGATAGCAAACCTTTATCTTGTGGAAAAGTCAAGAGAAATGCTTTCCTTTACGTTTTGGGATCCGAAAAAGCTTTATAATGATTCATGGGAGTTGTCTCAGTCAAGTCAACACTTATTTCATCATGGTCTTCTTTTCAAGTGCTCTTAGTTCCATGTACCAAGTTTTTGCCAAGCTTAAAATTTGTCTATGAGATTTTCCTGCTTTCTTGTTTCATGGATTCAAGTGCCTAGTTTCATGGACTTTATGTACTCATGGATCTTGTTTTCTTTTGAAGCTTATGGACTAGTTCATATATTGGACCTTTACTGTTTTTGCTATTTTTTATTCCTTTGCCTACATATATTCTTCAATAAACTGCTTGCTGATTTTACCAAGCCGGTGTGGTGTTTAAGGTCAGAGGTGTTCCTGCATTGGCGTACAACAGGTGATCGGGCATTTAGATAGGAAGGAACAAAGAAATAAAATATATTTTCCTTAGCACACTGAAACCTTTTTGCTTGCACAAAACCACTTCGCATAAGAATAGATAGAAAGAAATGAAATAAGGTCCACCACAAAGCCACAAACGATGGTTCAAGAAGAGACAGGGGATGCTTCCAAAGCACATTTGCTGGATAGTAATTGCCACTAGAAAGTCAGAGAAAGATATTAACAAATTATATTACTATAAAAGCTGGAACCCAATGATGTGCTATACAAACAGAACATCATTTCTGCTTGTAAAGGCAGCATTACCATATCTCTTCCCCATACTGTCTCAATATTTTGTGTCCTACTCTTCAGTAGTGGTCCTGAGAACTGAAAGGGTCTGGAATTTATAGATTTGGGAGGGGGAGATCTTTTGTGTATGTAAAGCCCCAGTCAATTGCCTCTAGATCAATGGTTCTCAACCTATGGGTCCCCAGATATTTTGGTCTACAACCACCAGAAATCCCAGCCAGTTTCCCAGCTGTTAGGATTTCTGGGAGTTGAAGGTCAAAACATCTGAGGACCCACAGGTTGAGAACCACTGTTCTATATCTAATAAAAAGAACAAACTATGGGATTTGTGGGTAGGAGATTAGGACTATTTTTTACTTTTTCACTCTTTTCCTCCAGTTGAGACAACTTCTGTCCAAGTCTCTTCTTCTTTTCTTCCTCCATCTGCTCCACCCGTTCTCGGGCTTGGAGTGCCTTTCTTAGCCTTTCTTCGCGCTTTCTGTAGGATATGTAAAATTCACATAGCAATTAGAACATAATTTTATTGTTATCGAAAGTGTTATATTAATAGCCTTGTCATATTTTCAAATAAGTGACTGTCACCTTAGTACCAAGAGTAGCTGTATTTACCAACATTATAAAGTATGCCCTACATATTATTTCCAATCTGGATATTGTTATTTACAATTTTATTTCTTCCAGTCGTCGTCTCTTTTCTTCCTCCACTTTTTGTTTCCTCTGTTGCTCTGCTTCCTGCTTTTTTCTGAGACTTTCCAGACGCTGACGCTGTTTTTCCTAAGATATGAAAAAAAGGTTAGATTACGGTATAATACATTCTCAACACAGTATATTTTAAGCAATGTCCCTGCCATGAGTTAAAAGAAACCAAGTTCTGTGATAGTATAAACATGAAACACCCCAGAAAAGATCTGCATTCAAGTCATGTATTTAGAAACCATTCACCATACAAGTTCCACAACCCATAATATAAGAGAACAAAAATAGTTACTTACAACAAAATCTCCCTTTGTAGGATGGATATGAAAAAAGAAAGATGAAATTGTTCAGTTTAGGGAAATCAAAGTGATGTCTAGCCAAGTCATATCTACAGGTAGTTCTTTCTGCCTTTGTGAAGTAACATACAAGTTTAAGATACAACTGGACCCAAGTAAAAGGCTTCTTTACCTCATCAGTAGTAACTTAAGGGAGACGTAGGCCAAAAACAAACTCTAATTGATGCCTTAGTGATGTTCAAGACCCCAGGATCAATGGACAAAATGATGTTCAACATTAAATTTAATTTTATTGGACTTCACTTCACCCCATCAAAGGAAGTTTAGTTCTGTTTCAGACGAGAGGAGAGTTTGAACAAGGTGAAGTATTTTCTTGCTGTAGCCTGTCTTCCAACTTTGTTTCTCAAGCAGTAAGATAAACAGATCTGACCACATCTACAAAAGGAGGAGGTTCTCTTGCTGGTTGCCCCCAACTTGCCATTTTACAATGTTTATTTAATCTTGTAATATACCAATCTAATGATTTATAAGTCTGAAAAATTACTGCGAAATAAAACAGTCTATTAGTCCACTCTGATGCTATGTACTTTGTCTTGCTGCAGTTCTCCAGAATCTCATGTAAAGATCTTAATCCTGAGTTGCTGTGTGTTTTTTGGGTTGTATGGCCATGTTCCAGAAGCATTCTCTCCTGACATTTTGCCTACATCCTATGGAAGGCATCCTCAGAGGTTGCGAGGTCTGTTGGAAACTAGGCAAGTGAGGTTTATATATGTGTGGAATGTCTGGGGTAGGAAAAAAAACCTCTTGTCTGCTTGAGGCAAGTGTGACTGTTGCAATTGCCCACCTTGATTAGCATTTAATGGCCTTGTAGCTTCAAAGCCTGGCTGGTTGCTGCCTGGGGGAATCCTTTGTTAGGAGGTGTTGACTGTCCTTGATCGTTTCTTCTCTGGAATTCTCCTGTTTTTGAGTGTTGTTCTTTATTTACTTTTATTTAATCCTGCTAAAAAGACCCTTTTAGTTTGAACAACTTCCCTGATATACATACAGGGATTGTGAAGATAAAACAGTTGGGAGTGTACAATTCTAGGTTACGCAGTAGTAACAGGCCAACAGCATTCTGGCCAATTAAAAAAAATTATCAGAGAAATGGTTCAATTTACATGGGTCTTCTGTAGAAGAACTAAGAGTTACATACTTCCAACTCTAATTTAGGGGATCCATAGGGATGACAATGATCTCACAACTCCTACTTCTCAGCCACTGATTCTGTGTCAAATGGGGACGGGCCCTGTATCTATTGGGAAGCAACAGGCTGATAGTTCCACCCTCGCCTGAGCAATCTCTGGCTTGAAAGGGATCTGCTTTTGCCTGATGCACCCACATAATTTGGCATGTCAGCTGCTTTCTGGGCGGTGTGGCCCAATTGGAGCTCCTGCTGCCTAGTAAGTGAGGATTGAGGAGATTAGGACAAGAGACACTACGCAACACCATGACTATAGTTCTTATGCTTTTGTGATTTGCCAACAAGATTCCATATGTTATTATTAAAAGCAAATGAGAGAAGTCCTCCTTACCTTGGTGGGAGGTCTACTGGGTGTGCTGTGTTTAACACTATTCTTTACTGGTGACCCTGAAGGTTTAAGTAGTTGATTTTTCTGTATAGATTGGAAGAAGTTTTTGAATGGCCGTATGATCTGTCAAAAGAGTATGAACATATTTAGTGCCTTCTCAGAGTTGAAAAAGAAAAGTGAACATTTTTTGCCCTTGATATCTTTAGCCTTTCTTTGACAGAAGGCGGCAATACCTTGTTTGCATGAGAAGATGTTGTTTTGTGACTGGAATTGTTTTCATCTTGCATGTTCTGGACAGTAGGCAGATCATCACTTGCACACTTGTAACTTTGTTTCCTTAGGAAAAACAAGCAAGATGGGTATACAGTAAATCCATTTATATACATTATCTTTGCTACCTCACATCTTCAGATTCCTACCAAGAGGTCTGGAACATCCTATTTTATAGGAGAAAGCTAATGAAAAGTCTGTAAGTACACAGAGTCTCACTTCAAAGATCTAAAAAAAAAATACCTTTCTAATTTTCCCTGTGACTAAGACATTCCACCTATGACACCAGATACATTCTGGTTTCCACTTCTCCTCATGCTACCATGCAGCAAATCTCCATCACAAGAGATCACAATATCTTCTGGGATAATTCCAGTAACTTCAAATTACTGCATTCCCTTGCCTAAATTCAATATAGGGGAACAGCTGCTGATGAAACTACTTTCATTACTATAACCAAAAATGGAGAGTGATCCTTCGTTCATTCTTATATCCCTATGCAACCCCCCCCCCCCCCCCCCGAAATCTCCAGTCACTTAAGAAGAATGTTCAATTGTGCTATCAATAATAATAATAATAATAATAATAATAATAATACCACGTTATTTATAGACCGCCCTATCTCCCCAAAGGGACTCAGGGAGGCTTCCAACGAATATGGCAACTAGTCAATGCCAAAAAGAAAACCATACAAACAATTTACATCAAAGCAAAACACTTTAGACCATATAGAACAACCTAACTAAAAAAGCATAGAATAGAGACATCATAAAATAAAATGAAAACTTTGATAAAACACACTAAAAATAAAAATATAAAAATGATACAAAAACTCTACAGTATTTATTTATTTATTTACTTAGCCCAGAGGTGACTCGAGTACCAGTATGTTGTTGCATTTAGGCCATTATACTGAGATTAAATCAAATTTGAAAAAAGAAAATAAATCCCATATAGATTAATTTTAAAACATAAAGTAAGCATACTGGCTATTTGGAAGTTGCTCCTTGATACAGTTATTGTGGACTGAATCTTGTGAGCCGTTGATCTGGATGCTGCTGATTTCGGTTTCAAATCTCCCTGCAGAAAAGAAGAATTAGTCCCAACAGTAACATTTCCTGCAGCAGATCCCACACATCATAACATCCTGTTAATTGCTAACACCTGGACTTGACCAAAAACCACAACAGAGATAAAACCTATATTCTAGGTAGTATCAACACAGGTAGATCAAGTAGCGCATGTAATTTGCAACGTTTTGACCCATGATGTGTTTGCGGTGGACTTCAGCATTGAATTCTTTGCTCTCTGAGTCATAGCCAGGGAAGCGCTTGGTACTGTGTGGAATTGAGAGGCCACCATCCACGGCTCCTTTTAGAGCACCAAAGACCTTGTTCCCAGTTGTAGTTCGAGCAAGACCAGCATCCAGGTAGCATGTAAAGGCACCAGGTTGCCCATCCACACTTTCAACATTATACTCATCACCAGTCACTTCAACTTGGCCTTCGTAGACCTTGTCAAGGCCAAATTTGTTGAGAAGCCTGTGAGCCAGCAGCAAAGAAAAGAAACCCTAGAGGGAAGTCAAAAAGAAGATGTGGAACCGTCCAAAGTTGTCCCTTGCCCAGAAGAAAGATTGTGTGGCTCAGACGAAGGCTAGCTTCCTTCGGGCTCAGGAATGTGTGGCTGATAGTTAAGACGCCTTCCTTGATTTTCTATGAAGATTTTGGAAAACAAAATAAACTTATTGAACCCAAAAAACACCCAACCACACACACAGGTAGATCAAGTGCGTATATAAGGATTATGCAGGCTTCTCTCCACTGTGATGACAAATTGTTATCGAGTTTAGTGCCAGCAATTTAATTCATATAAGCAAAAAAAGGGGCAGACACTTTTCTTCAAAACTAGGGAATATGAATCATTTAAATCTCTTTTAAAGGAAACAAAATAGGTATTTTTTAAAAAACTTACACTTCATAACAGTGTCATAGATTGGTGACAAATCATAAGTCTGACATGGTTTATCAAGCTTTTGTTGCACCTATGTAACTTAACTGGATTCAGTTATTTACCTTTATTGCATATTTCTTGTTGCTGCATCTTTGATTTAGGTGAACTCTGCAAAACACTGTTAGGAATCGGACTTGATGTATCCAGTGTACTAAACATGTTATGTAGTGTGTTTGGAATCTATAAAAAAAAGCTACATTTTAGCATAATGATACCTGACCATCCAAACATTGAGCCAGAAAAATCATGAAAAATGTAAGTGTCTTATGGTGATGTACATCTCTAACTTTTATTAATGAGGAGAAGTGGGCAGACAGCTTCTTTTCTTCTGAAATCTTTCTAGAAAAACTAAACAAATTAAAATACCATAATCCATAGGCACAGCAATTACTTTCTTCTTTATACTCTTTTCCTGCTACAACTCCCATCTCTTAGCAATTTCCATTTATTTATTTACTACATTTATATCCCACCCTTCTCAACCCCGAAGAGGACTCAAGGTGGCCTTACAAAGGCAACAATTTAATGGCATATATTAAAGCATCTGTAAATAAACAAAAATGTTTAAACCAAACCAGTTAAAAACATGACATGAAAACATCAATTGAAATCACATTTATGGACTCATGAGTACTGCAAGGCTCAAACTACTCCTGAAATATAAAGATCAGAAATGAACAATTACTAGAATGAACTCAGTATCTCAGAGAAGTATAATAAACATCATTTTTTCTACTGCTAATAAAATGGCAATATAGCACCCATGGCGGTAACCTCACTGGGCCAATGGGAATATTAAACACAAATGTCAGGACAAGATAATCTGAATATTAATTAAATCTTTTCTTAGATTGTAATACTGCTAGAGGATATGATGATGGCACCGGGGGGGGGGGGGGGGAGGGATGATGAATAGTAACTGTTGATTTGTTCTTAGACTTCATGTGTAGGTAAAGTTTGCTCCTCAAAACTCTTTTTCCAACTTGCAGAAAAAATGGATTTGAACAGTCTGATGTGTTGCCAGAAATGAGTACTGTAGTTTGCTAAGCTTGGCAGCAAATCAGTATTACATCTGCAAACCACTAAATGCACTAGCAAACTGCAGTTGCTCAAACTACTCAAATAGCTATTAGAAATCTAGAGATTTAAAATTGCTTTCAGCCAAGTGCAATAGCACTTAATATACCAAATTGAAATTGATATTTTTCACAGGCCAACTACAATAGGGAGCCTATAACATATTGTCTATTCTCATTTCCTGTAATGAGTTCCAGATTTCTTGAGTTGATGTAAAAGTAAGAAATATTTTGTAATTTATTTAGAATGAATATTTTTTTTAAATAAATTCAGTGGGTTTCAGGATAATTTTAATGCTAAATACTATTTTATTATTCAAATATGTTATGTCTATATGAAAACAAGCATGTTGTTATCCACTTTAATGTGTGTTATATCTATGTTTGATATGTATTGTTTGTGTTCCATATTAGGAGAAAGGCAAAATATAAATTAGATGAATATTTAATTCATATTTTTAATTACTTCTGTGTTCACTATTGCTTAAGATGGCTACTGCCAATTATGATGCAGAAACCACCTGCAATGAGATGATTCTGCAAGACCTCCCTGATTCAAAAGACATAAAAAGATAGAAAATAGAGGTAGCAGAAGCAGATCCAACCAAAAGTGTGTTAACAAGGAGAGCTGAACCTAGAACCACAAGCGCTTTATGTTCTTTCCCTACCCGGCTGATCTCATGCAGTTAGATGCATCTAATAGACTGGGCCACAGCTGAGCGGCATGCCTTCCAGTATTTAATTTTCTTCACATTACAGCAGTTTTGACATAATAAATAACTGATTGCAAAAGTAAATAAAAGTGACCAATTCTTCAAGTCTATTTGGAATTTAGTAGGCAAAATTCAATGGCTCTAAGGAAGGCATCAAGAAGGAAATTCACCATGTGAAAATTCACCAGCAGAAAACTGCCAAGATCTTACCTCATCAGATTCAGCATTCTGTGTCAATAAAGGCCTGAAGAAAGGCATTTTGATAAAATGTTAACCACCTCAAATGAAACAAAGGCTACAACTGTCTAGCCAATAACGCCTTATAAAACTTTAAAGAGAGTAGTGGACTACAACTCTGAAGAACAAAGTTCAAATCTCCACTCAGTTATGACAATCCAATTTGTAAGCTTGGATAAGGCCCAGCTTTAGCACAGCAGGTTAACCGCCAGCTGCAATAAATCTTGCCAAACAAAAGATTGACAGTTCAAAGCCCAGGTCAGGGAGAGCTCCTGGCCTTTAGCCCAGCTTCTGCCTACCTAGCAGTTTTGGAAAAAGCAACGAGAGTAGATAAATAGGTACCGCTTCAAGTGGAGAGGTGTTTAAGGCACCCATAAGAAAATGACAGAAAATGCCGGCAATTCAATCAAGAAGGAAGTTTACTAACAAAGCTCTTTGGCAGGGAAAGCGGAGCAACAGCACCCCCCGTGGCCGGAATCAAGAACAGCCTCCAAGATGCCGAAAATGGGAAAGCCTATATATACCTCTATCTATATACAGGTATCTGTCTTGTCAAGTGTATAACAGCACTGAATGTTTGCCGTATATGTGTTCTATGATCCATTCTGAGTCCCTTTCAGAGTGAGAAGGGCAGAATATAAATACTGTAAATAAATAAATAGGTCACACTTTCTCAGCCTGAGAGGAAGGCAAAGGCAACCCCCTTCTGAAGAAATATTGTTAAGGAAACCTTTTGAAAGGGTCCCCTTAGGATTGTCTGTGAATTTTCTAGGACATGCTTACCCATGATCACTCGTCTCAACATCCATGAACACTTCAAGGGAACTATGAGCTGGAGAATGAGAAAGTTAAAGGAAATAATGATATGAAAATACATTTTAAGATGAAAACTAATACTATGAAATGCTTCTGCTGCCCTCTGTGGATGCTCAAGTCCCATGACATACACAATGGCATAGTAAACCAACGTCCCTCATATAAAATAGCAGAATCAAGGTTTGCTTTTTTTTTAAGGGGGGAGGCAATTGGTTTTCTGTAACTGAGGATACAGAGGGCCAACTGCGTTTTCATGCAACATCTCCAATGTTCACATCTTTTGGGAAGATAGGTACAAAGTGCTCAAATCTCATAGTTGTTTTTTTTTTTACTAGAGTTACTGTTGTAAGGTGGTGTCATTATAAAAAGAAACATCAGCATTGTTTTCAAGAATCTGCTAGTTTAGAACAAAAGTAGATGAATTGCACACATTAGGGATACTGAACAGTCCTTAAGACTCCAGGAAGTTTGTTTCCTGCGCAATCACATTAAAGATTTCTACTTTATTCCTGCTTGTCAAACACTTAGGTTCTATAAGTTACATAACAATGCAGACCTGCTCTATGTGACATACACTGAATTGTCTTTACTTACAGCTGACTCGACTACAGGTAGACAAGGAGTCTTGAGCTGCTTTCTTCTTGGCCATTGTTCTGCTGAGGGATTTCCGAACCACACTTCTCCTTTTGTTACTTTGCGAATACCTCTTTGCAAGGGATACTTTCTTGCTTTTGTGTACTCTAGTTGCATGGCGATGTCCTGACTTGGAACTTGCAGGGCTTCCAGTACTCTCATTTAGTTCCTGGAAAAGCTCCCCTGATGACACCAAGTTGTTAACCAACCCTTGGGCTGGAATTTCTTCCACTCTATTTGATGACTTCCCATTTAAAGCTGCTTGTGGAGATGGTGTATTCCTTAATCTGAAGGCATCGCCCTCTTTTTCAGTCTTTTCTGGTGGCAGCATCATTGCAGTTCCAGCCACATGAACCAAATTGCCATCTGAAAATGCGGCTCTATTTACATCATCATTCGTTTCCTCCTTTACTTCAGTACTTAGACCACCGTTGGTAACAATTACTCTTCCTTCTGGAGATATCTCACTTTGTACTTCTGAAGCTTCTTTAGAACGTCTTGTCATACAATAAGATATGGAATCTGTTATCCCCACATCAAGGCCCTCTTTATTTTGGGAAAGTCTCTGAAAACATGCTGGCTTTATACCACTTCGCATTCTAGATAATCTTAAAAAACAAACAAACAGACAACCGAGAATCAGTGGAGTGTCATTGAAGGCCTTTCATGGCTGGAATCACTGGGTTGCTGTGGGCTTTTCGGGCTGTATGGTCATGATAGGAAAGCATTATCTCCTGACATTTTGCCCACATCTATGGCATGCATCCTCAGAGATTTTGTTGGAAATTAGGCAAGTGAGGTATATATATCTGTGGAATGTCCCAGATGGGAGAAAGAACTCTTGTCTGCTTGAGGGAAGTGTGAATGTTTCAACTGGCCACCTTGATTAGGATTTACAGGCCTTGTAGCTTCAAAGCCTGGCTGGTTGCTGCCTGGGGGATCGTTTGTTGGGAGGTGTAAGCTCCTCAGACTACACAGAAAAGCCACTGAAATCCACAAGCATGTGGACAATGTTAACTGAAAGGAGGAAATCATAAAAATGAACAAAATCTGGCTACCAGTATTTTAAAAAACTCTAAAATCAGGACAGTATATAAAGAGCAACACTCGAAAAACAGGGGAAATCCAGACAAGAAACAATCGGGGCCAGCTAACACCTCCCAACAAAGGACCCCCAGGCAGTAAGTAGCCAGGCTTTGAAGCTACAAGGCCATTAAAGGCTAATCAAGGTGACAATTGCAACATTCACACTTTATCTCAAGCAGACAAGAGTTCTTTCTTCCACTCTGGACATTCCACAGATATATAAACCTCACTTGTCTAGTTTCTATCAGACCTCACAAAACCTCTGAGGATGCCTGCCATAGATGTGGGCAAAACATCAAGAGAATGCTTCTGGAACATGGCCATACAGCCCGGGAAAACTCACAACCCCCCAATCAGTGGAGTATTTCAAATACAAGGCTAGTCTCTAGGCATCAAATACAGTAATTCTTTTTCAGGCCACAGGGTGGCATTATCACCACATTGCAAATATTTCTTACTTGAATATTTTCCCACTCCAACTGAGTATGGCCATACCACATTCCTGTATTTTCTCCATTAGTTACTCCACTGCTTAACCATAGGAATGCCCAAGAACCCACCAGGAGCATGTTTGTGCCAATCACCAATATACAAATATATACTGTACATTAAGGGTGTTTTTTTTAAAAAAAATTATGTCAGGAGCGGCTTGGGAAATTGCAAGTCACTTCTGGTGTGAGAGAATTGGCCATCGACATTGCCCAGGGGACACCTGGATGTTTTGATGTTTTACCATCCTTGTGGGGAGGCTTTTCTCACGTCCCTGAATGGGGAGCTGGAGCTGACAGAGGGGGTTCATCCCCCACTCTCCCTGGATTCGAACCTCTGACCTGTCGGTCTTCAGTCCTACCACACAAAGGATTAACCCACTGCGCCACTGGGGGCTCCTTGCTATGAACTGCAAGTCCTTTTAACAACAGGAGAGGTTGCGGTGAGGGAAATGTTCAAAACAGAACCTTCTCTTGAATGCTGTCTGGACTGATGTCCAAGACATTAAAGGCAACAATATGACAAATTTACCTTCACCCATGCTGAGTGTAAAGTATACATAATACACAATAATATTTACTTTTTTGAAAAACAAAAGAGGAAGTATTTTTGCTGTACAGCAGTGGTAGGGTATATAGGGGAAAAATAAAGCATAATAATCAGGAGAAAAACATGATACCGGCAAAAGCTGAGGAAAGTTACATTAAGATACTGACAGTAAATGTCAGGTAAATACTAAATGAACATACTCAGAACTTGGAAAACTGCAAATATTGGAAAATCCACAGGATATATATGGCTGCTTTCCCACACAGCTTATTCAAAAGTACAAAACTTAAATATTTAAACAATTACTACCGTTTTCGAGTTAGTTCCTTATTTTCATACTGAAATGATGAGGACCGTTTCTTCTTTCGATGCTTTCTCTGAGATGGTGTTTTGGGCATCAGCTCAGGTTCAGCATTAAAGCTGCTGTTGCAGAATGAAACAAACAACAAAATCCTTGAAAGCTTGCAATTAACAACAAGAAGCTATGCTGGGCTCCACTGCAGTAGCTCAGAATGCATTTTTATTAAAAGCTTAACATATCTGTCATTGGGATAGCACAGAATGTACGCAATTAGGTCAGAAAAAATGCAAACAACCCTTACTGCTATGGTAAACACGCAACTCAGAAATAGGATGTAGCATATGTCCTCATGGACAACAAGTTAAACATGAGCCAACAATATCATGTGGTGGCAAAAAAAGCCAATGGGATTTTGGCCTGCATAAATAGTATAGTGTCTAGATACATGGAAACCATGCTATCCCTCTATTCTGCCTTGGTTAGATCACACGTGGAATACTGTGTCCAATTCTGGGCATCACAATTGAAAGGAGATGTTGACAAGCTGGAGTGTGTCCAGAGGAGGCTGACTAAAAGGATCAAGGGTCTGGAGAGCAAGCCCTATGAGGAGCGGCTTAAAGAGGTTGGCATGCTTAGCCTGCAGAAGAGAAGGCTGAGAGACTTTATGGCCATGTACAAATATGTGAGGGGAAGTCATAGGGAGGAGGGAGCAGGCTTGTTTTCTGCTGCTAAGGAAAATAGGATGCGCAACAATGGCTTCAACCTATAGGAGATTCCACCAGAACACAAGGAAGAACTTCCCAACTGTAAAAACTGTTTAGCAATGGAACTCTCTGCCCCAGGGTGTGATGGAGGGTCTTTCTTTGGAGACTGGATGGCCATCTGTCAGAGGTGCTTTGAATGTGATTTTCCTGCTTTTTGGCAGGAGGTTGGACTGGATGGCCCATGAGGTCTCCTCCAACTCTAGGATTCTATATGCTTAGTATATATGCAGCTTTGCTTTTGCCTCCAAGATGACCACAGTAACTGGGCACTTTGTTACTAATAGTGACTTAACTGTGTATGGTATGCTGTCCAGTGGGGTGGGAAAAGCTGTCATAAAAAGCCACTGAAGAGAGGAATAAACTCATTCAAAGTATAGGGATAGAGGAGAGTCCTCTGCCAAAACCCCTACATAATTTAAATGGATCTGAGAGTAAGAGCAGCAGGATCCAAAGTGATTAAATAAGAACTATTGTTATGTTGGACATAGCATGAGATGATATGCCTCGTTGGAAATGCTGGATAAACAGTAAGCAGGAGGAAAGAAGACGACCACAGCACAGGTGGATAGACTAAGCCAAGGAAGTTACATCACTGAGTTTGCAAGAACTGAGCAAGTTTTCTTGTAGGCTTCTCGTTCATAGATCTGCCACAAGTTAAGTCAAGGTGACGGCCATTAAAAGTAGCACATTACAAACATTACAAAGGGATCATTCTTTTCAAGCATAAGTTCTACCTTTCAAACATCTTCAGTGCTTCCTCTTCAATTTCCCGCAACCACGTCAAGTATTTGTATTCGGCACTGAACAGGAAATCTGAGAACTTTTGATTACAGACATCAAGAAGGTGAGTGGGGCCTCTACCCTCGGCCATGGCACTAATTAAAAGACAAGAGGGGGGAAAATCAAGTCATCCCTTAAGTTTATATTTGCATAACAATAACCAAAAAAGGCCAGCTAAAAAATCTCCTAAGAAAGGATTTCCCCCAGGTAGCAACCAGCCAGGCTTTGAAGCTGCAAAGCCATTCAATGCTAATCAAGGTGGCCAATTGTAATTTATTTATTTACAGTATTTATATTCTGCCCTTCTCACCCCGCAGGGGACTCAGGGCGGATTACAATGTACACATACATGGCAAACATTAAATGCCATAGACACACAACACATATAGACCGACAGTCAGAGGCTATTTAACATTCCAATTTTCTGGCCACCAGGGGAGCTGTTGCGTCACCGTCCATCTGCGACACTGATGAAGTACTTCCTGCATTCCTCGCATGCTTTTGCTGGAGATTTTTTTTTATGGCCTCGTAAATTTGTTAAATCAGCCTCCCCACACATAGGTGGCACCTAAATTTCCTACTTGACAGATGCAACTGTCTTTCGGGTTGCAAAGGTCGACAACAAGCTAGACAAATTGGCCGGAAGCTCACTCCGACCCGGCCTGGCTTCGAACTCATGACCTTTCGGTCAGTAGTGATCTTAATGAAGCTGACACCCAGCCAGCTGTGCCAGTCCCAATGGGAACATTCACTCATGTCTCAAACAGCCAAGAGTTCTTTCTCTTACCATGAATATATAAACCTCACTTGTCTAATTTCGAACAGACCTCACAAAACCTCTAAGGATGCCTGCCATAGATGTGGATTTTTTTTCGTGTCAGGAACAACCGCTCCTGTTGTGAGAGAATTGGCTGTCTGCAAGGACGTTGCCCAGGGGACGTCCGGATGATTTTTTGATGTTTTGTCATCCTTGTGGGAGGCTTCTCTCTTGTCCCCGCATGAGGAGCTGGAGCTGATAGAGGGAGCTCATCCGCCTCTCCCTGGATTCGAACCTGCGACCTGTTGGTCTTCAGTCCTGCCAGCACAGGGCTTTAAAATGTCAGGAGTGAATGATTCTAGATTATGGCCAGACAACCTGGAAAACTCACAACAACGCAATATATACAGTATCCTGTTCTTATTGTTGCTGACATAGGGAGCACTTTCTACTTGTAGCTTGATTAAAGGTCTTGAAAAATTACAGCTCCCAGGATTCCACATCTCTGAGCCATGGAAGTTCGAGTGGTGTCAAACTGCATTCACACTGTTGAATTAATGCACTTTGACACAACAGACTGCAATCAAAGCTGAGGTAAAGTGCTAGGAAGGTGTCGTGGTTTGAGATTGGGCTTAATTCACTTCTGACCTTGGGCAAGTCAACCCAGAAAACTCTGTGACAGCTTCACCAGAAGTCTGAAAGTACAACAACAATGCTGTCTACAATTAAAACTGAAGGAGAAAGCAAAGCAGACCAACAATATTAAAGGGAAATAATGTTCCTCCAGAACTTGGCCATATAGCCCCGAAAAACCTACAACAACCTGGAAATAATGACGTTACAAGATGGGAAAAATGAAAATGCCACACCCAAGGCAGTCCTCTTGCAGCAACCTGAAAAAAAAAGTAACACCAAATATTGAACATCAAATGGAAATTATCATAGCTTCTAAGGGCAATTACTTCGACAGATAGCAACGCCACATCGCCTGCTGAAAAGTATGTAATTGGTCCCTTGGAGTGCATCTACACTTAAGAATTAATGCAGTTTGATACCATTTTAACTATGGTATCCTGAGAGCTGTAGTCTTTAGCCAAACAAGTGTCAAGCCTGCTACTCAGGGAGACAAGAAGCGAAAAAACCTATCCCCTTCCCTTCCGCAGAACTCGTTTTAGCAGCCTCACAACCCAATTTATCTGCTACACAAAGAAAACCAAGACATCCACCCAAGCGCCCCACGTACAACAGCGCTCCCCGAGCTGCACAAAATGCGCCCCACGCCTCGCTCCTGAACGCATGCGCACGAGAGCCCTGCCGCTTGAAACGACCGGCCCCTTCCGCCAGTACTTCGAAAGGGGAGGGGGGGAAACCTTTCGAGCAAGCGTTCCTGATTGGTCCTGAAGGCTTAAAGGGCTCACTCCGAAGTCCCGCCTCTACAGTTTCACCCCGGTGAAGAGAAGCGGCTCGCATATGTACGCGCATGCGCACTAGTATGTCGAGATTTGTTGGCTCAGAGGCGCGCTGTTAATATTTAGAGGCAAAAGAGAGAACAGGGGAAGCAGGAAGGGGGCGCGTGCGCACTTTCTAGAGTAGCATCTCCTCATAGAGCCTTGGGTTGGTTTGAGCGTTGAACTCAGAGTGCATCTACACTGGGGAATGAATGCAGTTTGACACCACTTTAGTTTCTTGAGGCACCAGCACTATTTCACAGAGAAGGCTAAAGGCCTTGTGAAAATATGACTCCGGGATATTATAGCATTGAGCTAGGGCTGTTCCAAGTGGTGTCAAACTGCATTAATTCTCCAGCGTGTACATGCACCCTAACATAAACGAAGAAATCCGCTTCCTCAAGCGCAGCATCCCGTCAGTTAGTTGGTACTTTAAAGAGTTGCTGTGAGCTTTCCGGGCTGTATGACCATGTTCTAGATGAAGCATGCTCTCCTGACCGTTCGCCCATATCTGTGGCAGGCATCCTCAGAAATTGTGAGGTCTGATGGAAAATAGGCAAGTGGAGTTTACATATTTGTGGAATGTCCAGGGTGGGAGAAAGAACAGCCACCAGGCTGTTTTTTAAACAGAAACAGATTTTAATTAATTAATGAGATTTGATATTTTAAATGTATGTAATTACTGGATTTTATTATGTACATGCTGTCCCCTGCCACGCGTTGCTGTGGCCCAGTCTGTGTATATGTAATTTGTGTGTGTATATATTTATGTATATACGTGGTTTTGTGTATATATGTTATTTATTTATTTATTTGACTTGTATACCGCCACTCCCAATTTGGCTCGGAGCGGTTTACAGCAGTAGATTAAAACAATACAACCAACTTTAAAATACAATAACAACGAGAACCGACATAGTCCCGAGTTATTCACCCATTGAAAGCTTGTCAGAAAAGAAAGGTCTTACAGGCTTTCCGAAAAGCAAGTAGCTCTTGGATGGTTCGGGTTTCAACTGGCAAGGCATTCCATAAATAAGACGCCACAATCGAGAAGGCTCTCTGCCTAGTAGAGGACAGATAAGTCCAGATGTTGGGGACTTCAAGCAAATTTTGGTCCTCGGACTGAAGTAATCTCTGGGGTTGGTAGGGGGATAAGCGGGCCCTCAGGTACGGCAGCCCCAGACCATATAAGGCCTTAAAGGTTAGTACCAACACCTTGAAAGTAATCCAGTACTCATGTTTTGTTTTGTATTTTGCTTTTAAAGTCTCTTCTGCTGTGCTTTTCAGTTTTTTAATGAGTGATGGTCACTCATTGGCCTGATATGTATATTGTGTCCAAAGTTGGTGTCAATTCGTCTAGTGTATTTTGAGTTATGTTAATCCCACAAACGAACATTACATTTTTATTTATATAGTTTTTATTATGTGTACATTGGAGACATTGAATTGTTGCCGGCTGGAAGCTGCCCTGAGTCTCCCCCTGGGGGTTGAGAAGGACAGGGTACAAATATCTGAAATAAGAATAATAATAAATAATAATTGTCTGCTTGAGGCAAGTGTGAATGTTGCAATTGGCCACCTTGATTAACATTTAATGGCCTTGCAGCTTCAAGGTCCGGCTGCTTACTGCCTGGGGGAATCCTTTGTTGGGAGGTGATTAGTTGGCCCTGATTTATTCTTGTCTGGAATTCCCCAGTTTTTGAGGATTGCTCCTTATTTACTGTTTTCATTTGAGAGTTTTTAAATACTGGTAGCCAGATTTTGTTCATTTTCATGGTTTCTTCCTTTCTGTTGAAATTGTCTACATGATTGTCAGTTTTAATGGCTTCTCTGTGTAGTCCGAGGAGCTAGCACCTCCCAACAAAAGATCTCCCAGGCAGCAACCAGCCAGGCGTTGGAGCTACAGGGCCATTAAATGATAATCAAGGTGGCCAGTTGCCACATTCACACTTGCCTCAAGCAGACAAGAGTTCATTCTCCTACCCTGGACATTCCGCAGATATATAAACCCCATTTGTCTGGTTTCAAACAGATCTCACAACCTCTGAGGATGCCTGCTATAGACGTGGGCGAAACGTCAGGAGAGAATGCGTCTGAACATAGCCATACAGCCCAGGAAACTCAGTAATTCCGGCTTCAACAACAGCATGAAATCCTGTGGTTGCCTCCTTCCTGCAGAATGCTGGGGCTTGTAGTTTAGTGAGGCCCAGGAACCCCCCTGGCTGAGCATTTTGAAGTCCCCTCCCCTAAACTACAATCCCCAGGATTCTGCAGGAGGGATGCACTCTCGCTTTGAAGTCTCGTGTGACCCCGAGTCTGCCCTTCCCTCTGTTCACCTGGGCAGCCGCATCTCAGCCAATGGCTGTCCCCGTTCGGGAGGCGCGCGCTGCTGATTGGACCGCGGGGAGTGACGTAGTTTGAAAATAAAATATTTGAACGGCGGCAAGCCTGGGCTGCGGGCGTTGAGAGCGCGGGTCGTCGTTAACAGTTGGCTGCGGAAGTGTTGTCTCCGGAGCTGGCTGGATTCCCCAAGCAGCAATGGCGGGGGGCACAAAGGGTGAGTCCTGGATCGGGAGAAGGCGGGCTGCGTGGCCTTAAGGGTCGCCCGCCTCCGCCTCGCATCCTTCCCTTCGTGCACAGTGAATCAGTGGGAAAACTGGGCCATCCAGTCCAACCCCCTGCCAAGAAGCAGGAATATTGCATTCAAATCACCCCTGACAGATGGCCATCCAGCCTCTGTTTAAAACTTCCAAAGAAGGAGCCTCCGCCCCGGAGTGTGGTGGAGGCTCCTTTGGAAGCTTTTAAACAGAGGCTGGATGGCCATCTGTCAGGGTGATTTGAATGCAATATTCCTGCTTCTTGGCAGGGGGTTGGACTGGATGGCCCATGAGGTCTCTTCCAACTCTATGATTCTATGAACTGGGTTATTTGGAAGTGTATACACCAGGCCTGGGCCAACTTGGGCCCTGCAGATGATTTTGACTCCAACTCCCACCCTTCCTATGGGCCCATAACCAATGCTTAAGCGGCTGAGGGAGAAAAGGAAGGGGCCTGAGGCTGTTAGGAATGGTGGGAGTTGGAGTCCAAATCATCTGCAGGGCCCAAGTTGGCCCAGGCCTGGTATACACACAATTATTTCATACACAATGTTTTTAATAGTTCTGTGCATGAAACATTTTGAGTATATTGAACGATCCCAAAACAAAGAGAACAAACCTTATTCTCCTGATTGGATGATTTCGAAGCCTCTGGGGTTTCTGGGTAAGAGATGCCCACCCTATAGATTGGCCCCCAGTATGTTCAGTTGAAGCCCTCCCTTCTTCCAGGTCTGAAATACTCCAGAATTTAATGTATGAGATAGCCAGCCAGCCCTTGGCTTTCCGATGTCCAAAACACATCTGGTCCCAATGTTTTGGCGAAGGGATGCTCAGCGTGTTGTTATTGTGGTTGTCAGAGTTTTGGAGTATTATATCATTTCTAAAGTGAGTCCCCGGTGGCGCAGCAGATTAAAGCTTGTTGACCAAAAGGTTGGCAGTTCAAATCCAGGGAGCGGAGTGAGCTCCCACTGTTAGGCCCAGCTTTTGTCAACCTAGCAGGTAAAAGACATGCAAATGTGAGTAGATCAATACGTACCACTTGGGCGGGAAGGTAACGGCACTCCATGCAGTCATACTGGCCACATGATCTTGGAGGTGTCTATGGACAATGCCGGCTCTTCGGCTTAGAAATTGAGATGAGCACCACCCTCCCAGAGTCAGACACGACTAGACTTAATGTCAAGGGGAAAACTTTACCTTTAAAGTAACAATAAGTGAGTATGTCTCAGTACCATTCCAGTAGCAAGCATTAAGGACTTAATCACTTGGTTAGCCTTGAGTAATTTACAGCCAAGGTGGGATAGCTTGAAAGAGTAATAAAGAAGCACAAGCTTCTCTGTTAGATGTGTTGGAGAGGAGTTGTTGGAGATGTTGTGGTGAGGTGCTGTTGCTGTTGCCAGAGTGTTGAGCTGCTGGAGATGCAGATACAGAGAAGCTTAAGGTCCACGCTCTTGTTACATCCTGTACTGCAGAGGTCCTCAAACCAAGGCCTGGGGGTCGGATGCGGACCTCCAAGGACATTTACCTGGCCCTCGCTCAGGGTCAGCCTAAATCTGAAACGACTTGAAAGCACACCACAACAACAATCCTATCTCATCAGCCCAAAGTAGGCCCACACTTCCCACTGAAATACTAATAAGTTTATATTTATTAAAATTGTTCTTCATTTTAATTATTGTATTGTTTTTAAGTGTCTTTTGCACTACAAATAAGATATGTGCGGTATGCATAGGAATTCATTCATGGTTTTTTTTCCAAATTATAATCCGGTCCTCCTAACAGTTTGAGGGACTGTGACCTTGGCCCTCTGTTTAAAAAGTTTGAGGACCCCTGCTGTATAGACTAGTGCAAACATGCTCTACATGGGGTTGCCTTTGAAGACTGTTCAAATGGTCCAATGGGCGGCACCCAGATTGCTCACCGGAGCGAGGTACAGGGAGCAAATAACTCTCCTGTTACGTCAGTTCCACTGGCTGCCAGTCTGCTTCTGAGCACAATTCAAAGTGCTGGCTTTAGCCTATAAAACCCTAAACCAGTGGTTCCCAACCTGTGGGTCCCCAGATGTTTTGGCCTTCAACTCCCAGAAATCCTAACAGCTGTTAACCGGCTGGGATTTCTGGGAGTTGTAGGCCAAAACACCTAGGGACTCATAGGTTGAGAACCACTCCCCTAAAATGTTCCCAGCCTACCTGTTCGAATGAATCTCCCTCTATAAATCACCCGGGAGATTGTCTGGGGAGGTCCTGCTCTCGGTCTCACCCCCCCCTTGCAAGTGCGACAGGTGAGGACGAGAGAAAGGGCCTTCTCAGTGGTGGCTCCTTGGCTATGGAGCTCCCTTCCCAGCGACAATAGATCAGCCCCCTCTCTCCTAGCCTTCAGAAGGAAGGTAAATATTTGGCTGTGTGATCAGGCTTTCAGAGAATAGTGCAGAGCAATAACAGATTTGAAATATGTGCAATGACTATGGATTGGCTTGGACTACAATTAAGGATGGAATGATTTTAATAAGAAATGAAATGTTTTTAAATATTTAATATGTATTAATTTTAACATTTTGGAATTGTATGTGCTTTAAGGCATTGAATAATTGCCTCTCTGTAAGCCGCCTTGAGTCCCCTACAGGGTTGAGAAAGGTATAAATACGGTCAATAAATAAATAATGAAGACGGTATAAACTGACTGGGGGTATAATGTGTTGGAAAGAAGGGCTGAATGAAGAGAGTCAAGAACTTCTGCTAGACTTTTGTAAATACTGCTGTACAAAGTTTTCTATAAAATATACAAGTTGTGCTTGCCTGCTCTTTAACCGGAAGGGGAGTGCTTCTGCTGAAGTAAGGGGTTGGTTTGTTGCTAAATAAAGAACTCCAGCCAATTTGCTGTTACAGTGGTTACTATATGGGTGTTCAAGAGAAGTTGCAGTTTGTTTGTCCCTCCTTATCACAATTCACTTCCTCGTCACTTGTTAATTTTGGAGGAAATACTGAAAGTAAGCCAGCACTGAGGCTTGGTGGTATACATTGGGGAGATTGTTCTGTACTTTGGGTGCCATTGGGAAAGAAGACACTTCAATTCCTTGCTGCCAAATGAACATCTACAAACTCTGGCACAGTTAATAGTGATTTTTTTTTTCTGGAGATGGCATTGGGATCTGACAATCACCTTGTGGCTTGAGGGAGGGTACAAGATGGTTAAAACTGTGAGATAAAACAAAACACTATTTAAAAAAACAAATAAGAAATATCCTCAGCTAAAATACGGGTTGACAAACCAGAAATATTCCTAAAGATAATTTGGCCTTTGGTTGTGTAGTCAGCCCTCTATATTTGCTGGGATTAGGAGCACGGGGTCCTTGAGAAAGCGAAACATTCCCTATAAAGAAATTACTTTTCTTACCTAAGAGAACACCTCTCTGGGAATCTCAGGGTCCTCCGTTGTGCCTGAAGGAAGTTGACATTACCATATAATCCTTCTTTGTTGTTCATTCGTTCAGTCGTCTCCGACTCTTCGTGACCTCATGGACCAGCCCACGCCAGAGCTCCCTGTCGGCCGTTACCACCCCCAGCTCCCTCAAGGTCAGTCCAGTCACTTCAAGGATGCCATCCATCCATCTTGCCCTTGGTCGGCCCCTCTTCCTTTTGCCTTCCACTTTCCCCAGCATAATTGTCTTCTCTAGGCTTTCCTGTCTCCTCATGATGTGGCCAAAGTACTTCAACTTTGTCTCTAGTATCTTTCCCTCCAGTGAGCAGTCGGGCTTTATTTCCTGGAGGATGGACTGGTTGGATCTTCTCGCAGTCCAAGGCACTCTCAGAACTTTCCTCCAACACCACAGCTCAAAAGCATCGATCTTCCTTCGCTCAGCCTTCTACACTGCCATATAATCCAGTTCAAAGCGGATAATCTCAGTTTTATATGCCAGTGTAGAAGGGGCTAAGGACCCATTGGAAAACTTGGAATTCCTTGAGATAATATTTTGAGAAAGTCTGTCAATAATAATAATCTTTATTTATACCCTGCCACCATCTCCTTAGTGAGGACTCGGAGCGGCTTACATGAGGCCAAGCCCAAACAACAAATTACAATAAAATAAAACCAAAAAACAACCAAAAACACAAACAATAAACAACATCATAATTACATAAAACATGTAAATACATAACAATATAAAATTACAATAGGCGCAATCACAATGGACGGGCTACATGTAATGATTAAAAGAGAGACTAATTAAAACTCGGGCGAGATAAAAAAGAGACAGATTATTTGCGGAGGAGGGCTCATTATAGCGGGGGTTGTGGAATCAAGCTTTCCCACAAAGGGGGGGGGGGCATGACGTATACTCCAATGACAGAACGTTGAGGCTAAGCAGTAGTGCGGGATTGTATGCCTACTCTCCAAAGGTGCAGCGGAAGAGCCAGGTTTTAAGGTCCTTTTTAAAGGTTTCTAGGGTAGAGGCTTTCCTAATTTCTCCAGGTAGTGAGTTCCAGAGTTGGGGGGCCACAGAGGAGAAAGCTGTATAAATCCATTAAAGTCAAAGCCGCAAATGTGGTGGGCCAATCATATAAGGCAGTGGTTCTCAACCTGTGGTTCCCCAGGTGTTTTGGCCTAGAAATCCCAGCCAGTTTACCAGCTGTTAGGATTTCTGGGAGTTGGAGGCCAAAACCTCTGTGGGCTCATAGGTTGAGAACCATTGTTAATGATGTGGAGATACTGAAAATATGGATATTTATACATGTATTGTATGCACGTTAGAAGCACTGAAATGTAGGAAAATCAGATTCTCTCTGTATTAGGTAGCCAAGCTGACAGGACAAAATGATTGTGAAGATCTGTGTCCAAAGCACAGTCAAGAGGAGGGGTGGATATGAACATTCTAGGGGGGAGATAGGAACAGCACGGACAGATAGAGGTAAAAAGAAGTGGTGCTCTTCCCCGGTCCTGATAGGTCAAAAGTAGCCCCTTGATGGATCTATGTGAGCTGAATCTTAGTATCTCTAACTTACTGTAAGCTGCTCTCTAGATAGAAAAAATACTGAGACATGCCCCATTCATGTAGAAAGCTCTAATTTGATATTTCTATGATGCTAAAGTGACGTAGTGGTGATGTTAACGTATGTAGGAGCATGTTTCATTGTTTGCCTGTATTTGAAGATGTTTAAAGGGGAAAGTCAACGCTTTTATCCTCACCCTGGTTTGCTTTAGGAGAAAATTCCACAGCAGAGTCTCAACTGAGAATAAAACCATACTTTTCTGCCTCTTGGTATTATTTCTCCTATCATCCACAACACTATAAGGCAGGGGTCCTCAAACTAAGGCCCAAGGGCYGAATACAGCCCTCCAAGGTMATTTACCTGGCCCTCGCTCAGGGTCCACCTAACTCTGAAAYGACTTGAAAGCACACAACAACAACAACTATCCTATCTCATCAGCCAAAAGCAGGCCCACACTTCCCATTGAAATACTAATAAGTTTATATTTTTTAAAAYTGTTCTTCATTTTAATTATTGTATTGTTCTTAAGTGGTTTTTTTTTTTTTTGCACTACCAATAAGATATGTGCAGTGTGCATAGGAATTCATTCATTTTTTAAAATTATAATCCGGCCCTCCAACCGTTTGAGGGACTGTGAGCTGGCCCTCTGTTTAAAAAGTTTGAGGACCMCTGCTATAAGGCATTGCATGCTACCAATATTTTACATTTATTTCTGAAGGTAACTAGTATATTYTTCATTCCTACAGCAATAGGCATATGATTAGAGCCCCTTCTACACTGCCGTGTACCCCAGGATCTGATCCCAGATTATTTGCTTTAAACTGGATTAAATGAGTTTCCACTGCCAGATAATCTGGGATCAGATCCTGGGATATAGGGCAGTGTAGAAGGGACCTAGCTTCCTGACTAGGGTGCCTAATCTAATAGAACTTCCAAACTGTGTGTCACAACATGTTAGTGTGTTGGTTGCAGTTTGCAGATATGCTAAACAAATGTAACAGGAAATAACAAAAATATTGGAAATATATGTTAATTAACTTACAAACCATATATTTTTAAATATATAAATGAAAGTTTTATGTGATATGTTGCATCACTATTACAACTTATGTATGTTTCCATGTCTCTTATAAGGGATTGGTTAACACCTCTAGTATGCTAATGAAACTGAATTACCATGTTGCAAAATGATACATGACTAAGAAAGTGTCACCAACACAAAATGTTTGTAAAGCTCTGCCCTGTATCTTTCAGACACCCACTACTTTCAAAATGGGTAATATGACTTTTATTTAAAGTTAGGCTGATGGCACTTGCCTGGTTCTGAGTATTTAGTTTGAACACAAGCTAACCTGTTTAAGGTTGTTTTGCTGAAACAGAGTCTGAGAGAATCAAGGAATTTCTGTCTTTTTTCTCTAGTGTGATGAACAAATTATCAGGTTTATCTGTTCCTTGATCAAGAAGAACCTCTTTGTTTATTTTGCAGACCAAGCAATGCTGAAGATGATATGCCCAGTGAGGCTGGAAGAGGAAATACAGAATCAATGTAGGCAATTTCTTGATAATGCTGACAACACAGACTTTTTGTGGATGGATGAGATTATTGAAGAGGCACAAAAGATGTTCAGCAGGTAAAAATCTCACGATATTCTGGGACAGGTGCCAAAAGCAAATATTTGGTTCTTTGTGTCTGTTGAAACTGTAATTGTTCCAAAACTGAGAGGTTGTCATCCTGGGTGGATTAACTTTAAATCAGAGAAACTATAAATCCTTTCTAAATTGTAAATGTAACTGAAATCCTGACTGGTATTGGCAGTCATAAGAAAACAGGCTGGTTTGTAATTGGACTGTTTTTATCAATCTAGAACAATGCTTCTCAACCTGGGGTCCCCATATAATTTTGGCCTTCAACTCCCAGAAATCCTAACAGCTGGTAAACTGGCTGGGTTTTCTGGGAGTTGTAGGCCAAAAACATCTGGGGACCCCAGGTTGAGAAGTACTGATCTAGAATCATAATCCTAAAACATTTAGCTGTGCAGCCCATGTGCATTTTGCCATTCATAATTATATTTCGTGGAATTATATAATTTGGCTGGTGTTTTCTATACGCATTGCTTATTTGGAGGCTGAGACCTTATCAAGACACTCATTTTTGATGGTTATCTTGATCTTATGTATTTTTCTGATATGCTTGATTTTTATGAGATATCAATATCATATCTGATGGCTGAAGAAATGCAAAGTATAATTCTACCAAATCTCTATCCCTTAGATCAGGGCTTCTTAAACTTTTCCATTCACACTCCCTTTGGCCCAAGAAATTTTTACATAACCCTGGGTATATCAGTATATAAAATAAGTATGAAAATCAAACATTTACTGACAAGAAATGAGCATTTGTAAGTTTTGCTAAACAGGCTGATTTTCCTTTTTATGAAGTACAGTTGAAGCATCTTCTGCATAGTCCGCTGTAAACACTGCACAATAGATTTGTGCAAATGTCAAAAATAGCTACTATGTGGTGTTCAGAAAACTTTTATTAGTGCCAAATTTTTCAGGATAAGTATTCGGAAAAATATTTTGGGTTCATCTACACACTGACTATTCAAAGGATGGCATGGAGGAGCAATCCACTATGATTGGTTTGACCCCTGCATTCCACCCTGGAAACGCATGCTTCTAGCTGTTTCAGTCTTGCAACATTTCCTGCATGGATTGATTTGAAATAAATAGTTTACCTTTCTGTAACACACAATAGATGATTTGGTCAGTAAACATCTGGGTAAGGCACTAACAGGCTGGCATTTCAACTGTTTTGCTCTTATGTATTTAAGCAACAGCTTCAATGAAGGACAGCTGCTGATGCCCAAAACTCCATCGCAGAGAAATCGCCCGAAAAAAAGCCGTGCTTCATCTGCTAAGCATGAACAGTTTGCCAGAAAGAGGTAGGATGGAATGTTATATGGAGGTCAGGTTGACGATGGGTGATGGGATGATTTACAGTTGACATCTGAGGTAAATATTGAGATAGGAAGAAAGCCGGCATCGTGTATTGATTTGAGTGTTTAAAAAGGATTCTTGGGCAACCAGAGTTGGAAACTCCACTTGTCTGTGGAAACCCACTAGGTGCTCTTGAGCAAATTACACACTTTCAATCTCAGGAAAGTGGTGGCAAACTCCCTTTGGGGGAAAAATGTGATGGGGCCATATCAAGAAGCACCACACAAATCAATGCTTCTGAAAACAACAACTGGGAAGCTTTGTATATTTGACTTGGGCATCAAATCTTAATGCCCCGTTACGATTCCGTGTTGCACTGAAAATACCAAGTTCTAATCTGTCTGAAATTTCTTTGATCTTAGAAGGGTTCTGAAACTTACCTACTATCTGCAGTGAATTGAAAATTCGTCAATATATCTGTTATTTTTCTTGAAAAGAAAAGAAATAAAGAAGAAACAGTGACATAAGATGATGGTGCAACTGCCTCTCTTTTAAATATCTTGTTTTACATGTATAGAGCTTTCTGATACTATCAGTTCAGTTCTTCATGCATCAGATATCATGTGCAGAAGATGGCAGTAATGGAAAGCCTCATTCAAGTCTATACAAAACTTCCCATTTTGATCATAGTGAGAGGATTAAGTGATGTGTAATGTATGCGGCTGTGGGTTCATGATCATGTTGGGACTGACAACAGCAGGATTCTGTTAAGTTTCATATTGAATCCTTATCAGTTCAATTAATGGGGGAAAAATAAATCTAGATAAATAGAAGTTGGTACTACTTCTCTCATAATATCTACTAGCTTTACTCTGCAGTGAACTTGTATCCTATTATTTTTCTGACAGTGTCTTCCTTTTATTAGGTTATCAAAAAGAAATGGTAGCCAGGCATCTTCTAAACGAGGTCTGCAACACAAAACAGATCTGGACATTTCCAAAGGTGATACAGGGAATATCTCACCTTGTTGTCGTGTGACTAGGTCTCGGGCTGCCAGGTCAGCCAGGCCCTCGGAAGATTCTCTTAAGAATGCTACTGTTCCTTTGGCGAAAGGGAGGATACCACTGGTAGAAATCAGTGCTAATGAGAGGCACAGTGCTGAACTTTACTTCAAAAAATCTCCACCCCCAGAAAAAAAGGTTGCACTGAGCATCCCATCCCCATTGTTATCTCAAGAGTCCTTTACAAACAGAGAAAAACCTCTGACCAGGGTGTCTTTGATTGTGATCCCAGATACTCCTGAAGCACAAATAAAAAAAGAGGGGCGAAGAGCTTCCAAACTGAAAATTGCTAATGGATCGGTTGCCAAAACCACTAAAAGTAAAGAACCCGTGACAAATGAGAAGATCGCATTATCTCAGCAACAAGAAAATTTGCAGCCTTCTGATACGGAAGTCAAGCAGAACTTCAGTGAGGATCCATGGACGCCTCGAAAATCAAAAGGAAAACGTCAGTCAGTACGGCGAAGCCTAACGGGCAGGCCATCCCAGAACGGCAACATCTCTCTGGTTGCACGATGCTCACTAAGCGCTAAAAGGAAAAGAGCAGCCCGGCAATCGAAATCTCTTACCAAGACTATGTTGAAACATAAAGCTTGCCAACAATCATCCAGTGCTCGTGGGCACTCAAGCTGTAAGTATGTACAGCATGAGATAGTATTACTTTTCTTTTTCTCTCCCCGCCCCCCAAATTTTATCTGCCTGTCCATTGATGTGTTGAATCAAAATGCTGGGAAATTGAAATTGTTATGGCTGATGTTTTAGGTAACCATGGATTTTTTGAGGAAGGGACCCCTGTGTTAAAATAATTTCTGACTCAGTTCAAGGTTTTTGAAGTGCTTTCGATAATAGAAAACAAAAAAACTGTATGTGTGTACTTTTTTACCAAGCAAAGCCAGAAAGAATGATAAACACGGAAGAAATGAGCAGTGTCAAATGGGGTTGGGGCATGTAACCCATACTTGTTAAGAAGCACATGTGCGTGTGGAACAAGGGAACCTTTAATTGGTCATAGAATAGGTAAGCCAGATTATCTAGGTAGAGCAACCCTATTTGCCAGTTCAGTTTTGTTCCTGCCTTCTCTCTTGGCATGCTGTGACTAGCCTCTGCTCTGGTTTTTTCCTTTGTTGTTTGATTTCCCTTTGTTCTATTTCCTCTCTATTCTTTCAAACAAGGAAACCCTTTTTGCCTCTGCCTCTCTAAAGTAGCCTCTTAAAGTTTTTTTCCCCCTTATCATCCATTCACCCACTTCCTCCCTCATTTGTCTGGGTTGCCACATGGACGAGGAAAAATAAGGCTCTATGTGTGGAGTTGTTTCTGAAAAGTACCAAATCCATCTGAACAAATTTTACAGGAATTGAAAACACATACTGAGGATATGCAGTCTTTTTTTGTAAATTGCAATTTTCTAAGCCCTGTACCGAGCTAATGTGATATATGTTGACAGTTTTGATCTGTTCATAATATCCTGCTCCTAGTCAACAATGTGCTACCACCTGTAACTCATTTTCCGATTTATTTGGATTTGGTACTGTTGAAAAACAAACTCTACATATGGGTTACTTGTATTTTTATTGCATAGGCTATGATGGAAATATAAACGTATTTATGTTCCTTGACTTATAGCTCCAGCAGCTGTGCATTCAGAAGATGAAGAAACAGCAACTGAATCTGTGTAAGTTGAATAAAATTTTCAAATTGCATCCAGAGTGGGCTGTCTACACTAAAACTGCTGGCAGCATTGCTCTACCCTCTTTGCAGCCTTTTCAAGCCAGCTCCACAAGCTGTGAAAGCAGAATAAAAGGGCTATAAGAGGGAGGGGACCAAAGAGAAGTCCCATTGGATGAACTAACAACATCTGCTTGTACAGTGCTGAATGTAATCCTTTGACTTCTTGAGAGTTCCAAATTCCCACATGAAAACAGGACATTTGTTGAGTTTTTATAGGGCTTTGTGTAGTCTTAATACAGAATGTGGGTAAGAGTTTAGCTGACAATGCTGGCCACTTTATTTCATCGCTTTAATGTCTTTAGAGACAGAGTGATAAAAAGAAAATTGTACTGTTTTATTTATGTATGTATGCTTATGTTTTTTCTCCCTAGGCCAGAGCTAGATCCTTCTTCTGATTCTCAAGGGGTAAGTTCTGAAAAGAGGAAAAGTAAAGCCTAAAGGTATATTTCTATATTGTACCTCCTTACCTAGAGGAATTAGAGTAACCTTATCGACTTTTTAAAAAGATAGAATTACAAGCTTGGTAGATGAAGGGATTGCTGTGGATATAACATAACTTGATTTCAGTAAGGGCTTTGACAAGTGCCCCTTTGATATTCTCGTGAAGAAACAGTAAAATGTGGGCTAGACAATACTTCCCAATGGTTCCTCGTCATTCTGAAAAGAAGTGCCTAGTGTGATCCCACAGGTATCTGTCCTGGGCTAAGCTATGGAATCATAGGAATTGTAGTACTGCAAGGTTTTTACCCTTCTCTGCCAAAGAGTGCTGCTGTCTCACCAAACTATAAATCCCAAGATTCAGTAGCATTGAACCATGGCAGTTGACATTTCAAACTGCCATCATTCTACAGTGTAGATGCATCTTGGACATAGAGCAACATTTCAAATTGAGGAAAACGGGCTGCCTAAACATTAGAATATGCTGGAGCTGTTCAACAGTAGAAATGGCTCTCTTAAAATATGGTGGAGTGGTTTAGGGAGCTGGGTATGTTTAGCTTGGAGAAGAGAAGGCTGAGGGGACATGTTAGCTATCTTTCAGTATTTGAAAGGATGTCACATTGAAGACTGGGCTAGTTTGTTTTCTGCAGTTTTTGGAGACTAGGATATGGAGCAATGCATTCAAATTTCAGGAAAAAATATTCTGCATAAACATGAAAAATTTCCTGACAGTATGACCTAGTTGGCAGTGGAATATTCTACCTGGGAGTGTTGTGGAGTCTCCTTCTCTGGAGGTTTTTGGACAGGCTAGGTGGTCATTGTTGGGAGTGCTTTCATTGTGTCTTCCTGCATGGAATTGTAGAATAACAGATGGAAAAGGTTGGAGTGGTTGTTTCCAAGTATATATCCTATTATCGTTATTGGAACAGGATTAATTTACGAGTTGATACATATACTTTTCTTCTGTCAAAGGCTGCTTCTTTAAAGTTGGCAAGCAAATATTCTACATAAATATTTTGTTTTTATGAATTATTACATATTATATGTAATAATATGTAATAATATTAAATATTACATGTAATAATAAATATTATGTTTTATGCGGTTGTTTTTATGATGCTAGCATCATATGATGCTTTTGTTAGGCCGCCCTGAGTCCCCCTTTGGGGGAGAATTGCAGGGGTGGTGCACCTGAAACCCACAGGTTAAATTAAGCCTGACAAGCCATGTGTCCTCTTGGTTCACTATAACTGCTGTCTGGGTGTCATGCAGCCTTTGAGATTGTATTACATCTATCAGAAGTTCTCTAACTAGAAAACTCCCCTGAAATAGTATACAATATTTCTTCTTTTTTAGGGTTCCATGAACTTTTAATTTAAATGTAAAATTGTTTTTATTGCAAGGGTTTGATCTGTCATAACAATGTTTTTACCCGTGTTTCTTTTTATACGTGAGAATGTGTTTGCCTTACAGCAGGCTATTGAAATCTTGAGAACGTCACTACATTCACAGAAGGCAAGCATGACTGCAAATCTCCAGGCTCAAGAAGATCAGCAAAAAGGAGAACACAAGGGTCAGTAGATTAGGAATAATGGGGTTCACTGAGTAACAAAGTATTAGTAACCTCCAGGCACCAGGATTCTTGAGCAATTTATGATATTGTAGTTAGGCCTATCTGCAATAGGCCTAACTACAAGAGTTTTGCACTACTGGCCTCCTATATAGGCCTAACTACAACATCATAAATCACTCAAGAATCCTGGCGTCTGGAGGTTGCCCCTTTCCATATTCTAGAGCCCAGTTCTCCCCCACCTTTGGGCAATTGAGTTTTCTGGCTGGTTCATCTGCCCTGTCTTCCCTTTTGGATCATGGCCATGTGCTCTGTGTCATAGTGGCTGGCTGACAGTTGTATGGCATGCGCTAGAGATCATGACATAAGCACTTAGGTAAAAGGATTACCGTATATACTCTCATATAAGCCGAGTTTTTCAGCCCTATTTTTGGGATGAAAAAGTCCCCCTTGGCTTATATTTGAGTCAAGGTGAGCAACGGAGCCCGGGGGCTCCGAAGCCGGCTGGCCTTCACTTCCATGGAGTGGGCTGGAGGAGGTGGACGAATGGCACTGGCAGGGGCAGTGGAGGCCGCAGGCGAGCCTTGCATCTCCTTTTTTCAGCCTCGGGCCAGAGAAGTGGCTGGCGAGTGCACCTGCCGCCACTTCCGGCGAGGCTACCTCGGGCCTCTGTAAGGAAGGAGGCAACCTCGTTGGAAGGGGCAGCAGCAGGTGCGCTCGCCAGCCACTTCACGCAGCTGGAGGTGGCCTCACCAAAAGCGAGGTCGCGTGGAGCTGGCTGCGAAGGGCAGCAGAAGCCAGCGCAGGCCTTTGCAGCCATCGCAGGCTTCCACAGGTCTTCGCAGACACAGAAGACAGGCAGGCTGCTGCAAGCGAGGTCCTTCTCCGCTGCGTCCTCCGCTTGCTCCTGCAAAGGTGTGCGCTGGCGTGCACCGTGAGAGGAGGATGCGGCGGAGAAGGACCTCCGCTTGCAGCAGCCTGCCTGCCTGACTTCTGTGGCTGTGGAGGCTTGCAGAAGCCTGTGCTGGTTGCAAAGGACTGCACAGGCCTCCGCAGCCAGCTCCATTCAGCTTCCACTTGGCCTCGCTGCCTGCCTGCCTGCTTTCTGAGACCAGGAGGTGCCCTACTATGATTGTGCTTTTGCTGCATGAAGGAGGTTGGACAAGATCACCTTTAGAACTCCCTTCCAAATCTATTAATATTAATATCAAGGCTGAATGGCCATCTGTCGGGGGTGCTTTGATTGTGCTTTCCCTGCATGAAGGCGGAATGAAGGGGGTTGGCCTAGATGGCCTTTAGAGCTCCCTTCCAACTCTATTATTATTATTATTATTATTATTATTATTATTGAAGCTGGATGGCCATCTGTTGGGGTGTCTTGTGCTTTCCCTGCATGAAGACAGAATGAAGAGGGTTGGACTAGATGGCCTTTAGAGCTCCCTTCCAACTTATCTATATATATATAATCCAAAACGGCATCCTTATGGGCCGCAAAACACGAAAACCCCCGGACGAAAACTCACCAAACTTGCTGTACACATACCTCAAATGACAAGGTATGCACAACACTCATCACAATTCAAAACAACATTACAACAAACTCACAATCACAGAAACAAACAGAACATGCGCAGAGGCGTCCCGGCGCGCGCACATGGCTGGACCACGCCCCTCCCTTCGCCGCCCCGCCCCTACCCCTCCATACGCCTTCCTCCCCATCTCCTCCGCCACCCACACCCCCTCCGAGAAAGCCACACCCCCACCCTCCGCCACCCTGCCCCTACCCGCCCATACGCCATCCTTCCCCCCTCCTCCTCCGCTGCCCACGCCCCCTCCGACAGCCACGGCCCCACCCTCCGCCGCCCCGCCCCTACCCACCCATACTCCTCCTTCCCCCGCCCACGCCCCCTCTGAGAAACAGCCACGCCCCCTCCCTTCGCCGCCCCTTACCCGCCCATACGCCATCTTTCCCTCCTCCTCTGCCGCCCACGCCCCCTCCGAGAAAACCACACCCCCTCCCTTCGCCGCCCCGCCCCTTCCCGCACTGACACAATCCTTCCCTCCTGCCCCTCCTCCTCCGCCGGTCACGCCCCTTCCCAGGAAACTACGTCCCCTCCGATCCCCGTCCCGACCCGCTCTGACCCAATCCATCCCTCCTCCCCATCCCCCTCCACCGCCGCCATCTTCTCCAAGGGGAACGCAGAAGGTGTATGAAAAAAGGAAGGAAGGAGAAGTTGGGAAAGTATATGAGGAAAGAAAGAAGAAAGAAAGAGAGAGTAGGAGCATGGGAAAGAAGGGAGAAAGGAAGGAAGAAGAAAGGAGCGGAAGGGAAGGTGTAAACACGTAGAGAAGGAAGAAAGGAAAGAAGAAAACAGAATGAAGGAAGGAGTGAAAGAAGCAGAGAAAGAGGGAGAGAAGGCTGGCCACAGCAATGTGTGGCGGGTAAAGCTAGTTATTACTATTATTAAAAATAATAATATTAGTATTAAGGCTGAATGGCCATCTGTTGGGGGTGCTTTGATTGTGCTTTCCCTGCATGAAGGCAGAATGAAGGGGGTTGGACTAGATGGCTCTTTAGAGGCCCCTTCCAACTCTAGGATTCTATGAAAGGAGTCTTAGAACCACAAACTGAACATGAGACAATAGTGTGATGCTGCAGCTGAAAAGGCCAGTGCCGTTCTAGGCTGCATCAATAGAAACCTGCGAGAATTGCTTTTAATGATAATGATTTAATGTAACTGTTTATTTGAACTTATTCTACCATGTTTAGTATTGCCATTTGTTTAATTTTTTTTTTGTAGTTTTTTGTTTATATAGGCCATCTGAATGTTTGCCTATGTTGGAAGCCAGCCTGAGTCCCCATTATTATAAAGTTACTGTTGATACCATATTGTTTTTGTTGACCCCCCTTTTCCACTTACATGGCTTGTTTATTGTTTTACTTTGAATTATGGCAAATATTCAAAACCATTTAACCTACTGATGTCTCAATTAATGTAATTTCAATAATGTATCTATTTTTTATTTTGAAATTTACCAGTAGCGGCTGCATTTCCCACCCTCGGCTTATACTCAAGACAATAAGTTTTCCCAGTTTTTTGTGATTAAAATTAGGTGCTTTGGCTTATATTTGGGTCGGCTTATACTCGAGTATATACGGTAAATCACCTTTTTGTAAAACCTCTATAAAATAGTAAATTATAACCATATCTGTCCTGGCAATTACAAATGTTGATCTGCTTGATAATAGTTTTCACTTCATGCTTTTATCACATAAAATAGTTTAGAGATCACTAACTGTGGTTGCTTTTCTCTATGCAGTGGGAAGCCCTGAAAAGTGTGAAGAAATTCAAAAACCATCCCAGAATGTTGGGTATGTTCTTTTTTAACATTAGCATATTTACGTTTTTAACTATTGTTTGTATATATGCCTGTACATCTTTTAAGTACCTATGGATAAGACTGCCACATCCTTTCTACTTGTCTGTTACTAGGAGTAGGCTTCATTGCTTGATGTCTCACATGAGTGACAAAAATAGTACCCAGTCATACACCAGTTCAAAGTGTTGGTAGATAAGAGGAATTGAAGTACAGGGAAAGAAAAGAATGGGAAAAACATAAAATGGTATTCCACTTTGCAGTTGAGGAAGGGAGAATTTTCAGACTGGGTTACAAATAAGAGATCATGCCAAATTAGGTTCATGGATTCAAATGTACAAAATCCACATTAAACTGGATGATATGGCAGTGTGCACTCAAATAACCCAGGGCCCTTCCACACAGCCATATAACCCAGGATATCATCAGAAAACCCCACAATATATGCTTTGAACTGGGTTATCTGGGTCCACACTGCCATATCATCCAGTTCAAAGAATATAATGTGGGATTTTATTCAGTTGTGTGGAAGGGCCCCCAGGTCAAAGCAGATATTATGGGATTATCTGCCTTGATATTCGCCAAAGGATGGAAGATGCTCAGTGCTTTCAAGAAGACTGGTGATAGAATACTGCACTGGTGTGTTCTGGATAATGAGCCTATGTTATTTTTTATATAAACCACTAAATTTACAGGAGACAAGCAAGCTATAAAAGAGCACTTGGTGATATAGAGGATGAACAAGAGAATCTGTCTCCACCAAGAAAAAAGGTTCCGTCTCCTTATCTTGCGAGCAAGGTGAGACAAGCATTGTATCCTAGAGAGTATGCTAAGTCTGATAATGGTTTCCCAGGGACTGATTATATTCTGTACTCTTTAGGTCGTCCGTCCATTCAAGACATTTTTGCACACAGTGCAAAAGAACCAAATGCTTATGGGAACCCCATGCTCTGTGAGCCGAAACAGTACAGTAAAATCATTCCTCAAGCAAAACACTCCTTTAAGGACCACTCCCCAGGTAACATGAGAACCTTTATAGGGGGAGAGCAGCTTCTGAACTAAAAATTTATCTGCTCCGGTGTAGTAGTGCGGGGGGGGGGGGAGGTAATAACAAATATGCAAATTGCCCGGGGGATACTTGGGATGGATTGTAGGATGCCTGGGTTTTCCCTATGTGCCAAACCTAATTTTTTTCATCCATTTCATCTAAAAAATCGAACAATTAAGGGGTTGGGGGATGTATGCAAGCAAATGCAAAATAAATAAGAATAAATAATAAAACTATTTAAATTCCTGTCTTTTGCCCTTTTAAAGAAAAACTTGATTGGGTTTAGGCACCTAAGGGACTGAATGTCTTAAGTGCAGGGAAGAGACAGTGTGCAACTGACAGAATATTAGGCAAAGGGGCTGATTCATTTTAATTATATTTTATTTATGAGACCAAATGATCTAAATGTGCACATTGATTTGAACTATTTCATCATATTATTAAGATTCAGGCGTGTTTGGGTTTAATTTGCGGACTATGTATTTAGTATCCCAGCATAAGTCTCTTGAAAGTGGTGAAGTCCATTGCTGCTCCTTGGGTTAACAGAATGCTAGTGCAGGTCTTATTAAGTGTAAATAAAGGTACAGTTGACCCAACAAAGCTTTGTAGCAGTAGGATGGGATTCTAGTTGCAAGTCTGTTTCGGTCATATTGTTAACAATAGATACTGAGTAGATACTAGGAAGAAAATTTCAAAGGTATTAACTATATCACAATTTTCTCTTTATACAGGGAGGGTTTGTTGTAAGTAATAAGATTGATCTTAGATTAGATGTATTTGGACATAATTAACAGTGTGTCACCTAATGGCATCCCTAACATGCATAGCAACATCCATCCTTTGAAGGGGCTGCCTGGCATTTATTGAAAGAGCCATCTGACTTTTGCAACAAACCTTACTAAAATGTAGACTGTACTTGCACGATTTCTAGTAGTATTTCACTGTTTTCCCAGTTTTATACAAGAACCTTGGGCATATCATTTCAGAATGTGATCATTCATATTTATCATTTCATTCATCCAGTACTTCGGTTTAGTTACACTAATCATTTAATTTAATTTATATTAGAAGGATCAAGACAGGCAACAAAGTGCCAAAGAGAACCTAGAATATTACTAAACATGGCTTCCAGGAGCTTTGTTGCCTTTTTAGATCTTGTCCATTTTATTTTCATAATTTAGCTGTTTCATAGCTCGTTTTAGTCCAGATCAAGCCATCTAACAGTTTCTACCTGAACTAAACATATCAAAAAAGGAGGAGGAAAAGAATGTTGGACAGTGCGTATTCTGCATATTTACTTAGAAGTAAGCCCCATAGACTTCAGTGAGACTTTTTCACCACCAAAATAAATGTGCTAGACACCATCCTCAATGTAACAGTTGTATTCAGCAGGTGTCTGCTTAGTTAGAAAAAAAACCCTGGCAGGGAAGTTTTTCAAGTTACTGACAGAACTAATATTGGTGATTCCATTTTATGTCAAGTTGTTTTGCTTATAGGCCCCAGTAGAGATGTTAGAGTCTATGTGTTGACAGGTTTGAGACCAGAAAAATAAGCTTAAGAAAAATGTTCCCACTTCAAAAGGACTAATGGATCAATGTCCCATCTCACATTACTAGATTTGATTGATACATTTTGTGTGTGTGTGTGTGTGTGTGTGTGTCAGAAGCGACTTGAGAAATTGCAAGTTGCTTCTGGTTTGAGAGAATTGGCCATCTGCAAGTAGGTTGCCCTGGGGACACTCAGATGTTTGATGCTTTACCATCCTTGTGGGGAGGCTTCTCTCATGTCTGCATGGGGAGCTGGAGCTGACAGAAGGAGCTCAATCCACTTTCCCCAGATTTGAACCACTGACCTATCGGTCAGCAGTCCTGCCAGCACAAGGGTTTAACCCATTCTGCCACTGGAGGCTCCGATTGATACTTATATCAATTGATACTTATATTTCTTTGAAAGAGCAGACCAGAAAGAAGGTTGTAAGGCCTGATATTGCTTTCCAATTTACTGGTCTCTTTAAGTTAATGAAACTTCTCTGGTTTGATCTATGCCTATTTGGGCTCAGGCTTTGTCCCTCTGCAGTAAGTCTGTTGGCCAGTTCAAATCAATTTGTGAAAATCCCTCCTCTTTAAATGAACTCAGGACTTCGTATTTGCATGTGCTACTTGGGAAGCAATGAACAACCCTTTCTAACACTGAGACTTCATTCTCTTCCTCTTCCTTTATGCTCCTTAGTGTATGTGTGGCATCTTGGCAGAGGATTTCCTATTTAGGAAAGAGGTGTTGTGATGACAGGTGGCAGAACATAATCTTTTTCAAGTGGCAAAGCAATGCTTTGAGAACATATCCAGAAGTGACTGTCACTTTGAATAGATGAAAATCCAATGTGCATCCTACCCCAGCACATGGAAAAGGTTACTTAAAAAATAATCCACTTTCATTGCTAATGATTCTGCGTTGAAGACTAATTTGTAGACATCATTTGTTGCAATGATGCGTTGTAATTTGCTTATAGAACTGGAACAAGTAAAGATGGTGCCAGCAGAATGTGGCTTAATTACTGATAAAGGAAGGATCTAACATTCGCCTCTTTTAAAAGATTAAAAACAGAATAATGATAATAATTTGTAATAATTCTTGAACAAATGCCTTTGAAAAGTAACTGGAAGCTTATTTATTGTACTAATGGAGTGACTTTGTTTCCAGTTGTGTAGCTTTTAAAATATGGCTTGGTTATGTTCTTGTCAATGGGGAAAAAGTAACAGTTCTATATATTTTTGACATGTTATTTCCAAGCTCCCTCTCCTGAGGCAATATGACATCACAGCCTCTTTTGGAAATGAGAAAAGATGCATATTTCGTGACTGATAGAAGTCTCACAATATTGTTGTGTTTATACTTTAATTGATAACTGATAGTAGTGGCTGCTGTTGGCAGTGCTGGGATTGAGATTGGTCACATTGACCTGTCACATTGGCAGTCTTGTTCTTGGAAAACATTGCAGTGACACTTGGGTTCTTTCTGGTTGCTGTTTCACCTTAGTTATCATAGCCAATGTCACTGTTAAATGCATTTGCCACAAAGGAAAGTGGGGGGGGGGGGGACCCTTCTTTCCTTGACTAGAACTGCAGTTGAGTTGGTTGGCTTTTACCCATTGGACCAAGCACACCTATGATGGTGTGTGCTAATATGAGTTCTGTGTTGTGTAGGAAAAGGAGAGGCAACGCCTGGAAAATCTTAGGAAAAAGGAAGAAGCTGAAAAATATCGAAAACAGAAACTGGAAGAACAGAAGAGGAAGCAACAAGAAGAGATGAGGCGGTATGTGAGTGCTTCCAGTTGCTCCTTTCCCAGTTTGTCTTAGGGTCCATTTCTAAGTGGAGTTTAATGTGCCCTCAGGAAACGTGAAGAGCGGCTTCGCAAGGCGCAGCAGACTCGAGAGCGGGCAGAACAGAAGGAGGAAGAGAAGAAAAAGCGGCTTGAGCAAAAGCTGGCTCAACATGAGGAGAAAAATGAGAAGGTAAGTCTGAATGTATCCACAAGGCTTTTTGGGAAGGTAGCTAATAGAACATAGCTAACACATTGGTTGAAGCATTGTGGCGTTTCTTAACACACTCTTTACCCTAAGGGAGACTTGTATTCCAAATGTCAGGATACAATTCTCTTACCAATTTATTGAACTGCTCCTCTGTGTTGGTAATATCTGTTTAGGCAGTAGATCTGAGTACAGTTGGTCCTCCATATTTGCAGGTTTATTTTTTCAGATTTGATTATTTGTGGACTTGTTAAATGTGTTCTCTCTGGGAATCTCTTTGAGTTCTTCTATTCTATTCTACTGCCGAGCTCTGACAAAAATTGACCATAGAGTCACTCTGGAGGTCATAGAGGTCGCTAGAGGGGTATTTTCTCAGATAGAATAGTGGATTTATTTATTCCCACTTTTGCAAGTGTCCTGTGCTCCTAAATCCCATGAAAGTGGAGTGCCTATTGTAGTCTTGCTATTCAAAATTATTAAAGAGTTCCGATTTGTGAGTCTGGTATTAAAGAGGCATATACAAAATACAATGAAACTGAAAGTCTATAAGGAAAGGAAATGTTTCTCATAAAATGCCAAGAGATGACTAACCAAGAGCCCAGCTGATACGATGTCTTAAGTGCCAGTTCTGTGGAGGCCCAGATTCTGCCATGCAACTCCGCCCCTCTGAGACTAATCATAGAGTTCAAAGTGACCTTGTGGGCCATCCAGTCCAACCCCATGCCAAGAAACAAGAAAGTCACTGCCTGTCCATTGACCAGCCTACAGTGTAGTCATCTGGAAGGGGAGAGAATAATTAAACTCATTTAAGGAAAGATGTGGGGTGTAAATACATCAATATTCTAGGTGCGAGAGGAAAAATTAGCAGAAGACAAAGCTAAGAAGAAAGTGGCTGCTAAGAAGATGGAGGAAATTGAAGCCCGGCGCAAACAGGAGGAAGAAGCCCGCAAACAGAAAGCTCTGCAGCTGGTAAGGTGAAGGGCATGGGATGGTGGCTTCCTCCAGAGACAAGGGGTCAAGGAGGAAATAAACTTTCTTGTAGAGCAGAGTTGAGACTCGTACAACCTTCCAGCTGTGGGACTACAAATCTTATCAGTCCTAACCAGTAGTGAATAATGCTATTGAACATCTGGAAGGCTGCTTGATTCTTATGCTTCCGTAGAGGCCCACTGCAATCACGAAAGTTTTGCAAAAATATTCAATGAATCTTCTCAGGCCTATTTGTCACGTTGCCAGGGCTCTACCTTGTTTAGGTAGAGATGAATCAAAACTCCCAGTTTAATTAAAACAGCACTTACTTGCTGGCTGTTTTTATAGTCCAAAATATAAAACACAAAGATAGCACGCAGCTACAGAATAAACAAAAACTGATAGCAAAAATAACTTTGTAGTCAAAAGGGTCCAGTCCAATGGTCAAATGCCTAGAGTTCAATAAACAAAGTCCAGGGATCAAGAGTCTATACCATAGTCAAAAGCCAGTCCAAAGGTTCAAGGTTCCAGGATTCTAAAGGTACAGGAGACAGGTCAGGATACCGAAAAATCCAACAGACCTGGTGGAAAAACCAGCAGGATCCACCACCAAAATATGACAAATACTTTTCTCCCAAATATCACTTCCAAGGCTCACTCCTTATATCCACAAACACCCAGCTGCAACCTATCTCTTGCATACCTCCACCCTTAATTGCTTTCACCCATGAACTCTTATTTACAGATTACAAAACCCTTTACAACTAATACTTACATTAACCCTTCCATCACCAAGTGCCAGGTCTACCACCACCAACTATGGAACATATGACACTATTAAATACTATGTAACTTTGATTAAACTTTATTGCTGTTTTAAGCCTGTTTTTTCACAACGCTTTTGTAAGATTCTTCAGGGGAAATGTATGTCTTGTGGTTCAGTTGAACTTTGACATGAAAAGGCACGCAATTTGGCTTGTGTTTGAAAATCTCAGTTTTTCTCAGTTTAATTATATTAATATGTTTCAGGTTCAGTGGTGAAAGGGGATCCTGAATATTTCAGTATCCCTTTTTAAAGGTTAACCTGACATAACAAACATGTTATGTGGACTTGTGGAAATTTGGCGCAGGCCTTCGTCTGATTTGTTGTCTTGGACCACTTGGCTAGGCTCTTGGCTGCATGAAGCCTACTTGGAGTGTAACCTCTTCTTTCTTAGGAGGAGGAGGAACGTAGGCATAGGGAGCTAATGCAGAAGAGGAAAGAGGAGGAGGAGCAGGAGAAAGCACGAAAGGCTGCAGAGCAGCGTCAGGCAGAACTAGAGAGGAAGAAAAATCTGGCTGCTGAGAGAGAACTGCAGAAGAAGAAGGAGCAGGAAAAGCTGCAGGCACAACGGTAAGGACAGGAAGGCCAAGAAGGCTTTCACTTATTTTGTGATGTCTTGGGCCCCATTGCATGCATCATTTTTAAAGAGTGGCCAAACCTTTGAAGAATGAAGCCTCAGAATTGTGTGATTATACGTGGTGGTGTCACTCCGCCTACCGCATTCCTCCTTTTCCATTGAGATAGTAATGGAGCTTGTCTGTTTGTAGGGAATATGAACGACAAGAGAAAGAGAAGGCAGCACACTTGCACAAAGAAGTTATAGCAGCAGCGAAAGAGAAGGAGCGTCTCAGAAAAGAGGAAGAGGAGAACAAAAGGAAAAGGGTGAGATGCTTGTCAGCCTCAGAGTGATTGTCTTACTTGCTTTCGTTGTCATATTGAAAAAAAGTTAAAATTGTGAAAAACGGGTAGGAAAATGTAGGCCTACTGGGGGAGTGTTAGCCTCTCAGTCCTTGAAACATGAATTAGAATAGAACCCGTCCCCCCAAATTGGTAAAATCACTACCCAAAGGTTTAAAGAACCCAACCTCATAAGTGACCCAAAAAGTAAAAGAAAATAAAAAAGAAGTTCTAATTTCATTTTTGTACAATTCTCAAGCAAAATAACCTTGCTGTCAATAGGAAATTGGTCTTCTTGCCCTTTGCTTTACTACCTGTGAGCTTGTAGCGAGTGCCTTTTACTAACGTTGTGTGGCCTTTTCTTTTTCAAAAAGGAACAGTTGAATCAAGAAGAAGAACAACAGGCTGCAGAGACCAAGACTGCTGACAGACAATTGAATGTGACAGTGGATATTGAGGTGAGTTCTGAAAAACAGACATCAGAAGTTGGAAGAGGTGATCACCCTATGAACTTGTTCAGCGAAGAAATGGGTACTGTACTGTACAAGGGCAGAGGGCTGTGCAGACAAGTAGGCAACCTCCAATACATTTTTGAGTTTGATTGACAAATTGTATTTAACATTATTCCATACCAGAAAAGACCCACACAGTTTTGGAAACAACATCCAGTCTGCCTCCTAAAAAAAACCAACACATCAAAAAGCATTTTAAGCATACTATATTACCTAGTAAGGGCTGCGGTGGCGCTAAGCGTCAGTGATTTTAACCTGCTGGACTAGGTGAGCTCCTGCTGTTAGCCCCAGCTTCTGCCAATCTAACAGTTCAAAACATGCTAATGTGAGAAGATGACCTGCAATCACTCCATGCAATCACGCTGGCCACATGACTTTGGAGGCGTCTATGGACAACGCTGACTCTTCAGCTTAGAAATTGAGATGAGCACCACCCCTAGAGTTGGGCTCGACTAGACTTAATGTCAAAGGGTTTACCTTTACATTTTACCTTTATATTTCCTTGTATTCTCTTTCATCTGATTGAAACTTTCTCTTTTTTTCTTCTCTTATTCATTTGATATTTGTTCCCTAATTATTTTGCTCTCCAAATTTCTTCACACACCATATCCTGTAGTAACTCTTTAGGATCCGAAAGGGTTGTGCCCCATCCATGTGGTAGGGGCCAACACTGCACAGACTTTCCTAAACCGAAAATGTCATGTGTTCAGTGCTACTTGAACAGTATAAAAACATGAATTCAATTCCATTAATTTCATTGAACTGGGACAAACTGCATGTAGTAATTGGCTTATGGAACAAGAATACTACTAGCTGGCTACCTATAAAGATTGTGTATAAAGTCTCTAAAAGAAGGTATGCTTTTCTCAGATTTGAATGTTCAGAGCATTAAAAGACACATCTTTCAACACTCACACATACAAGCACAAAAATTAGCAATATCCAGCACAATGTGTAAGATGTGCCTTACATAGTCATTCATTAATTGACTGTTGGAATAGAAAATACTTTATTTGCCTTTAAAAAGAGAGTAGAGGGGGTGTCAGTCTAACTTGTGTGATTTACATTGGAATGTATTTTAATCATGTTTACTATGTATTAATTTTAATTCAAGTTATTTTAAGTTAACGCATGTTTTTAAGGCACTGCACAGGGGCGACATGTAAGCCGCCTTGAGTCCCCCTTGGGGTAGAGAAAGGCAGGATATAAATAAGGTAAATAAATAAATAACTTTACTGGAAGAGAGAATAAATTGCTTACTATCTGAAAAATGATGGAACCTCTCTTCAGAAGCATACTTGAGAGTCTACCATGTTGCTACAACTTATCTAAGTGCATCCGGTCTTAAATCTAGTAATCAAATGTTCTATTCTATCCAGAACTCACCTTGTAATTCATATGAGATGACACCACAGAGCCACAAGCAACCCAAGATTAACATTAACGATTATGGGATGGATTTGAATAGCGATGACTCAACAGATGATGAAAGCCAACCCCGCAAGCCAATCCCTGCATGGGCCTCCGGTATGTTTTTAATTCATCTGGTACTCTTATTTACATGGTGGTGAAGAACTCCCTGTTTTATTGTTGCTGCCACAATCTGGTGATAGATTCATAGAGGGTTTGTCTACCAACTGACATTTGCCATGAAATCAAAGTGGGATCTCAGTATATTATATCACTGAGTGACAGATATGGAGGCATTTGTCTTGACAGCTTTCTGGAACCATGTTTGGGCTCAATGAGTGTTCAGTGTGATCCAGAGCATTTTTAATGTTTAAATGTATGAGTCTCTCAGTCTGGGCTTAACAATGCTTACTTGGAAGAAAATCTGAATTTACTGAATGTAATATGAGAATTTAGATAAGGTAGTTTTTTAGATGATAACTCCCAGACCATGACCTCTATCTCTGTTTAGGGTATTCTAAAGTCTACAACCTTAGTTAATAAGAATATATAAACATGCATTTCTCATGGATTATTATACATGTTATGCTTGAAATTTGCTCTTGTAGTCTATTAGTGGTGTGCTTTTTTTCTTTTTCAAAATTTTCAAACCAATTTAGAAAGGGCTAGAATGCATTATGGCTTTGGGGATTTTACATGCATGCGTTCATTTCTTAATGTCAAACTCTGAAATGCATTGTAAGAATTGTTACATAGTATTTTCAACTCCTACACATGACTCCAGGACACATGAAAAGGGTGCAATCCATTAAGTCTGTTTCTCCTACAGACCAAATCTGTTCAATTCGATCTGCACAGGCATTTTCCTTTGCTTCTAGCAATGATTCTCCTTCGTGGTGTCTGTTGAAATAAGCACATGTGATATTTGATGCACCTGTGCAGCAATCATTGGAAAACTCTGACAAGCTGAGAAGGCTTGTGGCTGCCTTCCCCGCCCCTCTTCCCCATGAGGCAATATAAGCCAGATGAGGGGCTGAAGGTGTAGTTCTTTTTTTTGCAGCCGCCTAAGCAGCAGCATTTGGGAACCTCTCTGACTGAAATTTACTAATACGACTTGGTTTGTTTGACTATTCTCCTTTCTCCAACCCTGACTTGGACTGGATAATCTATTCTCCTGCTCTCTGGTGCCCTGACTTGGCCCCAGCCAAGCCGCCATACGCAGCCCTCCTCGGGCTTGCTGGCTCCAGCGGCGCAACAGGTGCTTGGCTTGTCCAGCCCCGAGCGGGCGCTGCTCCTCCCGGCCGCTGTGCTGGCGCAGGAGTCGAGCAGGACACGGAGGTCTCCTTCTTCTGCCTCCCAGCACTCCTGGCGTTCACGTTCACGGAGCCCTTCTCCAGGTCAGCTGTCTTGGGCCTCTCGAGGCCGCAGCCCAGGGCCATATAGCCATTATGCCTCCCCAATGGCACATCTTCCTGTGGAGCACCACTCTTTTTCTACAACTCAGAGCCTCTCCTGGGGGGCGAGCTTATCATCTCACTCCAGTGCAGAATCCAAGGGCTCCTGGTACTTCTGTGCAGCACTGCCTTCCTGCTTCTGTGCCTTTAAATCTCTCGCAGCCACAGGGGATTCATACTCCCTCGCATGCTGCAGAACATGAGGAAGCATCTCTTTCTGACTCTGGGTCTTCTGTAAGCCCTGTCAAGCCTCCAGATGCTGCTGAGCCTCAGCCTTCAGAGGACGCTTCAGCTTTCTTGGCCCTTATGATACGTATGTCTAAGGCCTTGAATTTGACTCCAAAGAAGGAGCAACAGCCAGTAGAGGAGCCGATGTTTCCTCCTGATGAGCAAATTAGGCAGCCTTTGGCGTCTACTTCTTTGCCACCCCTTCCATACTTGCTCCAGCTTACTAAAAACCCCGATCAGGCTCCGTCAGCAGTGCCAGCGGTTTCTAGAGCATGGGACGCACGCTACCGCATTGATCTTGGATCTGCAGACTGGGTAGCGCGGCCACCTAAGCCCAATACAGTGGTGGTGAAGGTAGCAAAGTGTAAGCAGTCCCATAAGACTCAGCCTACTCCTCCAGACAAGGAGGGTAGGAAGCTGGAGGCCATGGGGAAGAAGGCCCACGCCAATGCCAGCCTGACGGCTCGAATGGCGCATTATGGAGCATATATGTCCTCCTCCAATACTTTTTTGTGGAATAAAATTGGGCCATTTCTGGATCTACTTCCGCCTTCCCATCAGACTGTGGCTAAGGCTTATCATCGTGAGGCCCTGGTTCTCACTCGTGCCCATAAGGACATGGCTCAGCACACTGCTGACACGGCAGGGAAATTGTTCTCCCTTGCCACATCCATACGACGTCATGCGTGGCTGTGTACCTCCACCCTGTCAGAGGAAGGAAGAATGTTGGCAGAAGATATGCCTGCTCATGATGATGGGTTATTCAATCCTGGGACTGATACTAACCTGAAGGAGTCTCAAGAAGTGCTTTAGGCAGCCAATAATTATGGCTTTACCCAGCCTTCTTCTCGGTCTCGTTCCAGAGGTCAGCAGCCTTATACCTCTTATTCCAGAAGATCTTTTCCATCTTCTTCTCGCACTTCCAACCAGCCAAGAGCTCCACGCTCCCCGAAACGGCAGACGCAGTCTTCAATGCGTCAGCAGGGTAAGGGGAAGTTTCAACCCAAGGGCAAGCGTCATTTTTAGCGACATCTCCCCTCTCCCTTTTCTACCCTCTTCACTTTCTCACAGGGTGTCTTCACTTCCACCTTCTACTCAACCTCCACTGCTTGTGCGCTTCGGCACACGTTTGGCCGGCTTCTACGAGGCATGGAGATCTATCACCACCGATAAGTGGGTGTTGGATGTGGTTCGTCACGGATACTCTATTGAGTTCAAGAGTCCTCCACGCCTTGGTTTTGTTCGAACTACGCTGCCTTCGGATGTCCTTTTGGATGAGGTTCGCACCATCCTCCAGAAAGGGGCAATTGTGCCGCTTCACCTGTCTCGGTTTTCTTCTGCTTTTTCTCTACCTATTTCTTAGTCCCTAAGAAGGATGGAGGCCAACAGCCTATTTTGGATCTGCGTGATCTTAACCACTACATCCAACCGCGCAAGTTTCGCATGGTGACTCTCCAGACCATCTTGCCACTTCTTCCTCGTGGGGCGTGGTTTGCCACGATAGATCTCAAGGATGCCTACTTCCACGTAGCCATCGCACCACGCCACCACAAGTGTCTCTCCTTCAAGATAGGCGACAAGGCATATTCTTTCCGGGTTCTTCCATTCGGAATCTGTAATGCACCTCAGGTCTTCACCAAGGTCATGGCAGCGGTGGCGGCTCACTTACGGGTGAAAGGGATTATGGTCTTTCCTTACATTGATGACTGGCTGATCGTTGGGGCCTCTCGCTCAACTCCTCCAACACCTGGACTTTGCTCTCTTTGCTGCAGAGTCTCGGCCTCGCAATGAATGTGCAGAAGTCCCACCTCGAGCCGACGCAAGACATCTGGTTCATCGGTGCGCGTGTCAATTCCATCGAGCGTAAGGCGTATCTTCCGGAAGAGCGGTTTCACAACCTCCGAGCAGCTGTGCAGCGTATTCGTCACTGTGCAGGCCAAACATGTTCAGTCCACACTAGGGCATATGGCTTCCACAACTGCTGTAACACCATTTTCCCGCCTGCACTTTCGACCGCTGCAAGCATGGTTCATCAGAGTGTTTGACCCTCTGCCACAGCCAGCACCGCATGTTACAGCCACCAGACTCTGTCCGACACTCCCTCCGTTGGTGGACTCTCCGCGACAATGTGCGTGGGCATGTCATTTCGCCCTCCAGGGCCTTCAGCAGTCGTCACCACCGACGCCTCTTCACGGCTGGGGAGCGTACTCCAGCACCCTCTCCATCCAAGGCCTGTGGACGTTGGCCGAGACCAAGCTCCATATCAACATCTTGGAGCTCACTGCTGTCCAGAAAGCGCTCCGAGCATTCGAGCGCTCCCTTTGAGGTCGTGTAGTCCAGGTTCACACGGACAACACAACAGCCATCTGGTACCTCAACAAGCAAGGAGGGACACCGTCCCGTTCTCTGCTGCAGTTGGCTCTCGACATTTGGCAATGGTGCATTCCCAGGAAGATCCATCTGGTGGTGTTGCATTTGCCCGGCCAAGACAACACGATGGCAGACCACCTCAGCAGGGCTGGGCCCACCAACCACGAGTATTCGCTGCATCCTCACGAGACTCACCTTCTCTTTCGTCGATGGGGATACCCGGTCATCGACCTGTTTGCAGCACCAGCCAATGCCAAATGCAAGCACTTCTGTGCCAGGATGCCACAAGACACTCCACAGGGATGTCTGGGGGACGCCTTTCTCTACAGTTGGCACGGACCCCTGTTGTACGCTTTTCCGCCACTACCTCTTCTCAGCAGAGTGGTGGCCAAGTTGGATGCGGACAGAGCCAATGCTATTCTCATAACGCCTTGGTGGCCAAGGCACCCCTGGATTGCCCTCCTCAACACCATGGCTCTGGGCGATCATCTCCCACTGAGCAGTCGGCCAGACTTGCTCACGATCCAGGACGGTCGTGTCCGTCACCCAGACCTTGCTCTGCTCCGTCTGACAGCATGGCGAGTCAGGTCGCACCCTTCCCTCCAGCAGTAACAGCCTTCCTTGATGCGGCTCACCGCCCATCAACTCAGTGCTCCTATAAGTCGAAGTGGCAGCGCTTTGTTGCATTTACACGCCAGCATGGTGTGCAACCTCTGCAGGCCCCTACTTCTCTCCTTCTTCAGTTCCTTGCGACGTTGGCAAACGAGGGCCTGGTACTGTCCTCGATTAAGTGTTATCTTGCTGCCCTTTTAGCATATCGCCACAGGGAAGGTGGCTCCTCCTGGTTTCAGGACCCTTTTGTCCAACTCTTCCTTAGAGGGTACAGGAATCTCCAACCACCAGTCTCCCCTCCACCTCCCTCTTGGCAGCTTGACTTTGTGTTATCAGCATTAATGAAGCCACCTTTTGAACCTATGGCTACGGCCGATCTTTCTCACCTTTCATGGAAAGTTGCTTTCTTGGTGGCAGTCACCTCCGCTCGCAGATCCAGCGAGTTGTGTGCAC